GTCAGAGCTAAGATCAAAAGAAGATCTGTCGTCAAGGCGATGGGTGGATGATGATGTGAGATTGGAGAGTTATGTTCCTCTGTTCAAATAGAGCCATGTCTGATATCCTATGGGGATACGTCACCGGCGAGATAGGAGCGATAAACTGTATGTATATCACTGACTATCAAATTGATTTTATATTACGTACAGTACATTTTTCCCTGTATTTTGGAAGGTTGCAGGGAGTGACTGAGGTTGACAATCCCAACCCTAGATAGCAGGCGAGCTCCATAGCTCAAAAACATGAGGGCAACAAGTACCTGCCGCTGAATGTTCTGCAAACTTACAAGCAATCGGTACATTTTCAGGAAAATGGCTACAAAGGATAGGTGTGAATCCGATCAGAGGCTTTTGCTATTTCTCCTTTACATCTGTCATCGGGTGAGAATGAGCCTCCTCCACATTGCTGCGGACACTTACAATATATATAATTCGTACAGGCGTAGCTGGCCAATGCTCTTCAACGCTATTTTAAATTTCCGGTGCTGTTGACCCCCGCTCAATAGCCCAGTTATTGGCATACTGCAACAAGCCACATACATGTTACCTTGGATCAACGACAATTCAGCGCAGCAGAATAGCCAGATGAGCCACAACTACCCAGCTCTCATGCGTCAAGTTGGCGAGTTACAATTCCTGGAGCAAAGGTATCCGACAGCGTAATTGCGATAGAAGCCGTGAAGTATGAATTGCACGGAAATAACTCTTCCGATGCAAGAAAAACATGGATGAGGAGTTTGCTAGCAAGAAATCGTCTCTCGCTATTATCTACCGGAACAGGTCGGTGCTGGAAGTAAAGGGACATTGATATACTACTATGTATGTATCTGGAATGAGGCTGCTCTGATCAACAGCTCCCATAGCTGGTATTAAGGTTTGCAACTCCAATTGGCCATCGACGTTATGCAAAATGCAGTTTGTTGCATTTTTAGCTCATGATTTCCTGGGTGAAAATTCTCCGATAACTCCGATGAAATACGGCAGTAGGCCAGCCTTCATAAACTTGAGTCCTAAGCTAGGGTGATGATCTTGCACTAGATGTCCTTCACCTCAATGGAATTGTGAGATTTTGACAGAAGGGTAGCTTCTGTTTGGCTAATCAAGAAACTGAACAGTGATGGGTGAGAGTGCCGAAAAAGGATTACATCTTTCCCTTTTGAAGAGCGTCTGGGAACGGGCGCGAAGTGAGGCGAGTTCCCTTTGATCAAGTATCAGAACAGCTGGGAAAAAGAGGTCAGATTGGCTGCAAAAACTTTTGCTGAATAAGTTCTCAAAATAGTCAGTTCGTCGTAAACCTGTTGCGACAAGATATATATCGACTTAATCTTTGAAAATCAATAATCTCTAAAATAATAGCCTCTCAGGATGTGGCGCACATTCCTAAGCAATTCCCTAACCAATGCAGAGCGATTTTAGAGTTTTCTCTGGTTCGTGTGCCCGAAATTTTCTAAATCGTATTTGAAGGAGAGATTGAGAGTCAGCTCGATTAAAAACGATGCCAACTATATTCACTACTTAGAGGCTGGGGCGTCCTTCTGAGAGTACTCCAGCCTTGACCCTGGCAGGACTTGGACGACACACCACAGTGAGCCTAGCTCCTCCTCACCCGGGGCCCCTGCCAGGGTTTCAAACACCAGCTCATCTTTCCATCACGCAATTAGCGTCTAGAGTCGCCGGCCAAGTCAAGAGGGTCCAGATGGCGTAGATTACCATCCAGTGCAACGAATATTTATGTGCAACCCACCAACCATTGATATTATTGTTCCAATGTCGTTGTCGATACGTTCTTGAATCGCGATGGTCCACATAATTGGGTGCTGGCTCTATAATCAGCCATTGCCTTTTTTCTTTTGCTTCAGAGAAGCGGATGGCTTGCAGGCAGTAGACTTATCAACCAGCGGCAGGAAGAATAAGTTGAATGCAAGGTTAAGCGTTAGGCCGAGTAGCGTTAGGTAGAGTAGAATGTTCCCGCTCGTTGACTTTTGTTCGTTCAGCTTCTTCCCTTCGAACTCGAGAAATTGGATGGACCATAGAGTTAGCAATCATTGGTGGAAGGAGACGCCCTTGGAGAGCCGTCCGACACTTGCGCTGATTGTGGCTTTTTACATGGCTATCCCGTACAAGCATTCGCCATCGTTTCCCCTCTTTTTTTCCCCCCACCATCTGAGCGTCGTACTTTCATTCTTGATTGCAAATTGTGCCAAAATAGTCGATTACCCTATTGAACAAGAATGCCGGATTAGGGTACCTGAAACAAGGGGCCTTGATTAAAGGCAAATCGGATAAGTAAAACCTTGTAATCCTCTGTAGGGCAAAATGCTGCTACCAGCTTGTCGCTCTCACACGTCCAGCTAGTGCCGCTCGCCCATGACAAATACTAGCTGGATAAACAAGCTCTCCTGGCAAAGAGTCGAGTAGGAGGAGTCAGGACTGAAGATAACCATCCCGTTTTCATCTTCATAAAGCTGTTGCCATGGCTTTCACAGGATCGATCACATCTCACTCAAGTACGTCCTGCACATAAGCTTTATATCTCAATGTTGTGTACATGCATAGTGGAGACAGTACACGAGGCTAAGCGTGTGTCGACCAGCAATCGTGATCATGTAGTTAAGCTGTCTCGAAGAGTAGTGACTCTGACTCCAGTGAGGTATGGACAAACTTGAGAGGCACAGCACCCCAGTGGCCATCGGTAGCGCTCTTTCTGAAGTAGACATCGCCTGGGGATTTTCTTCATGGTAACGGCGCTATTAAGATACCTACGATGCGCTCCAACTCTTACTGAGGGATGAATTCAAAGTTTCACCTAATCCTCAAGTTGATATCGTTCAAATCAATCCAGGCGAGGGGTAAGCCATTGCCCTTTGAACGAGAGAGGCAGTGTTAGGCATCGAAATAGCGGAAGATTTAGTTTCGTGGGCTGATAAAAAAATACATTACATGTGGTAAACCCGGTAAGCCAACTCAAACCAAGGCTAAACATTCCATAGCCTCGGTTCTTTTCTGGGTTCCAGGCCACTATTTTCGGTGAATTTACCTCGAATTCGAAAGAATTGATGTATGGCGCATTTTCTCTGTAGGCTCGCGTTCGAGATGTGTAAGTTAAGGTGGCTTCGACTGAGTCGCTATGGAAATCCACCCAAATGAGGACCGACGGGAGCCTCGGGAACCTCGACGCAGATCACTCGTGCGGCGATTATTCCCTCTCAACGGAAGTCCCAGCGGAATTAAATTTAAGCGGAGAGCTTTGTGAGATGGGGCTTGGTGGAGAGACCTGACGCTCGTTCTCCCGGCGATAGCTGGGGAAAGGAAAGGAACCAAGCCACCGAAAGCCCGGATGGATCCCTGTGAAAACGTGGGTTTTGAACCCCAGCTCAGGATGTCTGGAATGAAAACCCACACTAACGAAAATAGCGGCATCCACCAGTAACCGCTACTGCATTCCCGTGCAAAAGAGCACTTAGAACAAACCCCTGTAGGGTGCCAGGATGTTTTGACCAAACGGACTGGAACCTGTGACACAACCAGCAGTTCTAAGTCGAGATGTGTCCTAGAGGCCCGGCATTTGCTTCAAGAGACCGTGAGCTGGTGGACCTTCGCGTTCGAGCAAGACACGCTGTTGTAAAGCATCCTGAGCCATTTACTCCCATGCGCCCCATAACATTGGGAACATAACCATCAGAGTTGAGTATTAGCGCATCTTGCATTCTTGTTGTGCTTGATCATCCAACGACGCCTGGCTTGGTTGGGGTCTTCCTTCCTAGCAATTGACTATCTCCGACAATCTCCAGCAGATATTTCACTTGCCCAATCAGTTTTTCCCGTTTCAGCATTCCTCTGTCATCATATACGGCGGTGATTTTGCCGCAACGCCCACAGGCGTGAGTGTGAGGCGGAGAGGAATGTGATCGAACTAACTACCAGCTAGCTTGCCAGGCTTACTAGAGTTTCTAATGAGAATGGGTTATCAGTTATGGCCCTTCTACGGAGTACATTTGAAAGAAATGATAAAACACCCACTCCTTCCAGGATTGATTGACGCTTAATGATATATGAAAGAAAACTGATGTGAGCCGCAGTTGCTATAACATACATACCAGATGAGTGTAAAGGAGTAAACTTCAGTCGCAACCAGTTTTATGCTGGTACCTCTGATTGATTCACCGAATTTCTGGAATCCAAAATCATATGGATGGATTGACTGTTTTGCGGTGTCAGAGAATTCGGTTTGACTTTCACCTGAGGGTAGTCGAACTAGCAACAGCCAAAGAATGGATAAAGGGTTTGGGGAGTCTTCTAGCCTCAGGGAGAACGGGTTATTGGGGAATGAGCCACAAAGTTGGTCGTCGTCTTAGGTTGGTGGGTCAATACTTGTTTAGTTTGACGTTGGAGTAAGAAACTTATCAACGCTGACACTTTTGCCTACTTTAATATAATAACTAATATATTTTGGCTGAATTGAGCTACAGTCGATTGACGATTTGGATATGATTGAGGGGAGCCGAGAATCAAAGGAGCAGGGAGGTGCCCTTCCTGGTTTCTTCTAACTTAGCCTCATAATACCTCAGCCCAAGTACACAGAAAGTACATGGCCAGGTACTTCGACCCCACAATTTGGACTCGAATAAAGTTTATCCATCTTACGGACATGGATGTCGTTTCATGGGTTGCAGCATATTCACGGCTCAACCCCGGATCCTTACTAGTATGGTGGATTAGAGTCATTTTGGCCCGATCCTGAAGTTAGAGAATACCCACAACTCAGGCAGGTTTACTCGGTGCTGGGGCCTAAGGATGGCGTTTGAGATGCCGATAAGAGCAGCTCTATCCCGTAACGAAGGGACATATATTATTCCCTGAATTCGTTGCCATAGCCATATATAGGTCCCGAAAACGAGCCTACCAGAAGGAGGGACGAGACCAATGCCAATTTGCTTTCATAACATCTGAGAGAAATAATGATGCTTGCGGTTGAACAGAAGGTCCAGGAACTTGTCGCACATGTTGGCATCGCCAGAAACTGCTGCTCCCCGGTTGTGAGTTATTCAAGAACTGCTCACTATATTCCAGAGGAATCTTAACCGCCACTGACCCAACTAGCAGCCCAGTGAGAAGAGTCCCTGTAGTTTGAATGTTGGAGTATCAGACAGGCAAACACCCATTGAACGCCAAAGGTACCAGCTCTGGCCCATCTGGAAGAAGCCAGGGATGGCATCTGGACGATGCACACCAGATCTGAGCGATCTGAAGAGCCAGTTTAAGGAGCGTGGAACGCTTTATCGGCGTCGTAAAATTAGTGTTCCAGAATTAGGGCCTATGACGACCGTCCAGGAAAAGAACATAGATTCGCGTAAGTGTGCCTCTAATATCCCTAATTGCAGTAGTTACCGCTAACTTTCCTATAGCAACAATACCAGGTAAATTTCCTACTCATGAGCGGTCTAATAGTGCGCCTGGAGTATCGTCGAGCCAACCAACGTGTCAAGATTCTGCCCTTGATCCAGTTGGCGAGCCACCAAGTTTGTCGAGGAAGACATTTGGAAAAGTGCTTGGTCCTTCACCCATGGAAGACGATAGACATAAGTCAATAAAAAGGGCATCCTCATTACTGCTTCCTGATACGCTGGAAACATATCAATTTGCTGTAAACGTGGTTGGATCTTCCAAAAGTAATTTGCCCATTGCAGGTCTGGAAGAAAACAAACTGGAAAATGACCAGCCACCCGAAGTACCACCAAAGTCGCCTCGGCTTGGTCTCCGAATCCCAACTACCCAGCCAACGATCAGTTTTTCTAGTGCCAGCTCAAACTCCTCTGTTACAACGTTGGCTGCTCCAACGAGCAGTACCCCAGCTGAGAAGTGTTCGGCACAGAGCTTCATATTTCCCTTACACGACAGGAACGCTGAAACACAGTCGGGATCATTTGACTTGGGACTATCCGCAGTCCCATCGGGTTCGCCGTCCCCACTGGAAGGTAGAGGCACTCGCAGCCATTCGAGGAACAGAAGTGTCGCAGTATGCCAAACGTATCGCAGCGCGATCACACCACCGCCCATGCTGCAAAGGAAGGGTTCAATGCCGCTAGGTAACAAGCCAGACTTCTCTCAAAATTCAATCACGGAGACACCCCCAAGGAATAAATCTCCAGTACAGAGTGCCGAGGTACCTAAGCCCAATAAGGAACCTTCAGACCATGCATTCCTGATCCTACCCGCCGGGATCCCAGCGCACACTGCCTCGAAATTGCTTCCACAGGATGAAATCGAGAGAGTGAAAATCCAAGCGTGGGAACAGGCCAAACGTTTTGAGATACTCAAGTACGCAGAAGTCAGATCACTTTCTAGGGTAAGTTTTCTTTGATTTTGCAATATTTGAGCTTTGTCCCTGTATTTATTTCAAGCTACTGAGGTTGGATAAGGAATTGCGAGCGCTCGATAAAAGGTGCGATTATCTCCGCAAAACCTACAAGTCTTTGCGATCCGGGCGTCGAGGGCTGCACACACGAATGATCTCGTACCTCAAGTCACCCCGGGTCTCCAAATTCTCAAGGGAAGGCATCCTGAAGCAAGAAGAAGCCCTCTCCGAACTTGACCAGTCCATTGACGAATGGGCCTACAAGCTGGACCTTGCTGAAAATAGAAGGATTCGTATTCGACAGAAGTTGCTTGAGCACATGGCCGGCACAATGACGCTATGGACCCCACAGTATGAAGGCGAGGCTCTAGAAGATGACCTGACACCCTTCCGAAGCCCCCCGAGTCCTCCAAGGGCGGGGACTCCACCATTTGTTAACCGCCGGGAGGTAGAGTCAATTAAGATATATGCAGATGCCGAGTTGCAGGCTCTGTTCGCTAACATCGAAAAGGAGATGGAAAAGATGATCCACCCTGTACCGTCAACCCCACCGCCAACCACTCTGATTTCCTAGTGGTTCAAATCACTGTGCCGTATTTATACACAGCGCAGTTCCTTTCGCGACGGACAAATCGTCCTAACCGCCTTTCCATATAACATCTCATGAATTTTCTTCATTCGGTGAATTTTTCGTCAATACCTCTCTTTAATGCAATTTCTTTTCAAGCGATACGATCATGTTTCAACGACACAGTCGACTCCGGTGGTTGGAAGCATGTGCCGATGTCAAATTCAAGTTCTCCTTTGCTATTGTGCTTCCTTGGTGTTATCGTCATTCCTATTGATTCATTTGTTTTGAGTTTTGTTACCTACTACTAGTATCCATGATGTTATGTTGTACGTATACTTGATGAAGTTTATGGGAGGATGGGTCAGAGGATGAATGATATAAGAAGTATTCTTTCTTCACACATATATATCCCAAGCAGAAGCCGAAGGTGAACTGAAGATTGAAGCTGCGTTTTGAGTCAATGGTTGAACTTAGCTCCGCCCGGAATAATGTTCAGCCGTCAGATTCTGGATTTTATAATTTCATCGCAAGATTCGAATTTCCTTTTCCAGTAGTCCATAGATTTCAAAATATTCGTCCCCCACCACTCCCAAACCTCTTAACACCCTTCTATACAATTAACTCCGGTTGCACCGTAGACTATATTCCATACCTGCACATCATGATCTCGAGAAATATGATACGGCAATGCCAGACTGCAAAGTCTGCGTTGTCTATTCGTTATACATCCAACCGTGCTATTCCCGCAACAAGACCTGCATATTTGCAACCTCTTTCGCAATCTATAAAGCCTTTTCCTCCACGATTATTCCGGCGATATTCATCTACGGAGTCCGAGGGAGTGGACCCCAAGAAAGAATCCGCCTCAGAAAAGAATGGCAACGAAAAGAAAACAGAAGATGCTGAAGAACTTGTTAAAAAGGAGCTCGAAGCTGCCAAAAAGGAAATTGTTGATCTCAAGGTATGAGGCCTGTTTGCGTCCGTCTCATTAATTTTTATGCTTCTTTAATGGTGGTCGTCCTTCTGGAAGACATTACAATACAATTTCAAAGGAAACAAGTATCTAACATATTGAAACCCTAATTATAGGATAAATATCTCCGCTCCGTTGCCGATTTCCGAAATCTTCAAGAACGCACACGCAGGGAGATAGAGACTGCCCGGTCTTTTGCTATCCAGAGATTCGCAACAGACCTCCTCGATTCAATTGATAATCTCGACCGCGCTCTCGCTGCCGTCCCTGTAGAAAAGATCTCTGGTCCGGGCGAGCAGGAAAACAAAGAACTGGCGGAACTGGTATCTGGCCTTCGGATGACCGAGCGTGTCCTGTTCAGTACATTGAACAAACATGGGTTGGAGAGATTCGACCCTTCCGAGCTGGTAGACGGCAAGCCTCAGAAGTTTGATCCAAAATTACACGAGGCAACCTTCATGGCTGCTGCGGAAGGAAAGGAGGATGGAGACGTGCTGCACACCCAAACTAAAGGATTCATCCTTAATGGCCGTACACTAAGGGTAGGATGCTACCCCCCCATGATTTACTACTGAACAAAGCTGACACGATACGATTCGCAAAATTACAGGCTGCGAAAGTCGGAGTTGTAAAAAACTCCTAAGAACGAACTCATACAATTTGCGAGTCGATACAATTTGCGAGTCGATACAGGACCACTTGTCCCCCTCTTCGCTGCTCGATCATACAACGTCGCCGCTATCTCAACCACAATACAGATATTGAAGGCGATAGTCTCGTTTCTCCTACCAGAAACCCACACATTTCCGATTATAGCTACAATCCCTTTTGGCCCATTCATTTGCCTCACTCTATTCTCTGTATAATATCCATGCATGTATTCAACGCGGACAGGAAAAAAAGATATCTTGAATAAAATGGAAGAAAAATCACGGACGATGGCGTTTTTCCTATCTGGTACATTCATCATCTTCACTGCTTTGAGAGGTACTTCTATGTTGAGCTCATACATACATTCATCCATATATCCCTCATTTTCCTAGTCTCTCTTGTATATTTATTATCTCCATTTTCATTTGCTTCTCTTTCATTATTCTTTTTTTCATCCCATTTTCCTATTATTATTATTATTATTATATATCTCTCCTCTCTTAATGTGTTCATCATCCTCACTGCCAGGCTTGGGACCGGTAGTACGATGCGATATGGTGGATTTCATTTTCTTCTTCAGCTTTTAGCCTTCCTTTATTTGTGACCCTTTCAAATATATTTTTATTAGAATGAGGCGTGGCCTGGGGGTGGGACTTATTGTTATCCAACAAGCCATGAGCCTGAAAGCATTTTTCTAAAAGTACACGGTATTGTATGTAAAAAGAATCAAACAAGATGTATACCCTCCAAACAAAGCCGTCCATATAGATACTGTACATCTAGAATCGCCATTCATCATCTTATCTCCACACCAGCCTTCTCCACTAACTTCCTCCTCACCATTTCATGCAACTTATTCGTCTCCTCGTTCGTCAGGGTCCTCTCCAAACTCCGGTAGTTAACCCGATAGCATAAACTCTTCCGTCCTGTCTTCGGATGTGAAAATTCATCGACAAGCTGCACATCCTCTACTAAATCTCCGGCAATATCACGCACAATTTCCATTATATCGTTTTCATGGAATGGCATGCGACCGCCCGCAGCAGCAGCAGCTGAAGGTGGTAACCAAAATGCAACGTCCTTGTAGCATGCAGGGTGTTTGGAGAAGGGGACGAAGCGGGAGATTTTACCTGCTTGGAATTGGGAGAGGAAGCGCGGATCCCGGGACCAGAAGAGGCGGATGTCCGGGATATTGAAGAGGAGCATAGCGATGCGCTCGAGCCCGAGGCCGAAGGCCCAGCCGACGCGGTGTGGGACGCCAGCGGAGATGAGGAGTTCTTGCTTGACGACACCGCAACCGAGGACCTCAAGCCAGTCGCCTTGCCAGAATACCTCGAGTTCCCAAGATGGGCTGGTGAATGGGAAGTAGGCTTCGACCCAGCGGACTTTGAGGGGTTCCTGATCCGTGTGGGCGGATTCTGGAGTTCCTTCACGCGCTGCGGTGAAGATTTTAATGACAAGTCGCTCCAGAGAGCGTTTGAGATGGGCCGCGATCGCTTCCGTCTCTTGGACACTGAGATGTTCTGCTTGCAACGGGTTTCTTTGGGGGTGTATGGTTGGGTTCGGATCTTCGACTTTAACATTGTGAGCGGGGATCTTATTGGCGTCATTCATTATGGTATCTGCGGTTTGCGGCGAGTATTTCAAGGGGTCTTCTCGAGGACGCTTCCATAATCTTGCGCACTCCATTTGGTGGAAGACTGGGTAATGGCTGCGGTCAATAGCATCTCGTCTGTAAACATCTGCAATGACCGTATATCCCTCCTCGTCCGGGCATGCTTTCTCATTCAAGCCCAGGCGCTGGAAATAACTGTGCTGGTGAGCACTCGTATGCGTCCTCAAAACAGTAGTTTTGTTTACATAGTATGTATCCGTCCTACTTCGCCCAGGATGATTCGCAGGGAACCCGAGGATATCAAAGTTCTGCGCCGTCGAGACGATGGGGTTAGGTTCAGCATAGTTCCCAAACTCTGGCCCCGTGAATTGGCTCTCTATGAGCTGGCGCGTAATAGAAAGAGGGTGGTTTTCATCTAGATAGAGGCGACGTCCGATATGGGACAGAATATTGCCCGGTGTATTGGTCCATTCGTCGACATGGTGAATTTTGTCTCCGTCTTTGATGCCCTCCTGGGCCGGCCTGGCTGTTGATACCTGGCGATCAGGCCGGGATTTCGATTGCCCTAGAGCTCCCACTGGGGCTGAGTCTGCAGCCGCTGCTTCTGCCCCTGTTGATGTCGAGCTGTTGGATCTTGAGTTGACGAGGGGAGTCAATTGGCTCCGCGCAGGGCGATAATATCTTGAGGATTTTGCTGTGGCATGCCCCTGGTTAGAGGCCAGCCGCAGAATCCGGCCAGTGGCAAGCAGTCTCATATCTCTAGGCCTTCTGTCGGTGCTCGTCCGTTCCCCTTGATCCAGTCCGGGACAGAGTTAAATAACAAATTTTAGCTGGTGTCGCGGAAATCACGAATTTGCTCGAACCGTTATCCAGTTAGTAGTTACCATAGCTGTCAGCTAAATCCCGGTTGAACCAATAGACGGCGCCAATTGTTAAATCTTGGGTGGCGCCAGGACGGCGGGTGAGAATTATTTATGGGCCAGGGTGCGCTCGTCCTTGGCCTCAAGATATAAAAATATATAGAACGAAAACTTCGACACACCCTCGGCCCAGCAACGGACGGGATGTATGTGTGCACTGCTGAATTGCTACAATGGCAGATAGCGACAATATGAAGGGCTCTGAACCCTCGCCTGCTCAACAGCCGCCCCCCCCACGCCATTATCCCTTCTGGTTCGGAGGTTCTGCGTCTTGCATGGCGACCGCAACAACGCATCCCTTGGATCTATGTATGTCGCATTCCCATTTTTTCATTTCTGCCGTGCTTAGGATACGTTTGACTGACGTTTGTTGCAAAAAATTCTTATAGTGAAGGTACTATCACTCTAAGCGCTTTTTACTTGTCGATTTTAAAAGCGCAGTAAGTAATTATCTCTACTGGTTATAGGTCCGCCTCCAAACCCGTAAGCCAGGGGATCCAGCTGGCATGCTCAGGACTGCCGCTCACATAGTCAAGAATAATGGAGTCCTGGGTCTATACAACGGTGTGCGTTTGTATCTATCCCGAGCACGTTGTGGTGCATCTAAGTACAACCGGAGAAAAACACACTGATGGATGAACGAAACTAGCTCTCCGCCTCCCTCCTTCGCGCAATCACATACTCAACCACCCGGTTCGGAATCTATGAAGAGCTGAAATCGTATTTTAGCTCTGCGGAATCTTCCCCTTCTCTACCCACCCTTGTCCTCATGGCTTCAACTGCAGGCTTCGCTGGCGGGCTGGTAGGTAACCCGGCTGACGTTCTCAACGTCCGCATGCAATCCGACGCAGGCCTTCCCCCAGCCAAAAGACGAAACTACAAACACGCGTTACACGGACTGGTGCAGATGGTCAGCTCGGAGGGCCCATCAAGCCTATTCCGCGGTCTGTGGCCGAATTCAGCCCGCGCGGTCCTCATGAACGCTTCCCAGCTATCTACATACGATACCTTCAAGGACATATGCATCAAACACTTTGGCATGTCGGATAACATCAACACGCACTTCACCGCTTCGCTCATGGCCGGGTTCGTGGCGACATCTATATGTAGTCCCGTCGATGTGATAAAGACGAGGATCATGACGGCGAGCCCTGCGGAGTCGAGGGGCCAAGGCATCCTTGGCCTGTTGAAGGAGGTGTTTAGGAAAGAAGGGTTTTCGTGGATGTTCCGGGGCTGGACTCCTAGTTTTATCCGCCTGGCACCGCAAACTATTGCTACGTTCTTGTTTTTGGAAGAGCATAAGAAAATATACCGTGCCTTGTTTCCGCGGACTGAGGACGCTATTCTCTAACACCTGAAAGAAAAAGGGCAAAACGGGTAAAGAAAATACCTGACCCGCGGGTGACGACGACCACCTAATCCTTGGCTTTAGATTGGATCAAACAGTGTCTCCTCACTACGCCTCAATTTTATATTCCCGGTTTCCGTTCCTCTTTCTATCACCCAACAGCTTAACTCGATGTCAACTCCTCTAGTTATAATCTGGATGCCCAGTTTATATGGATATCCCAGTGACATTTCTATCTCTTTACGACGTGATAAGAACTTCATCTATCTAACCTTGCGAAATTTTCCCCATGATCTCTTCGCAAAGGATCAACAGCTACAGCTGCGCTACAAATACCTTATGCTTTTTCGTTTGAACAAACTTATAGACCTATATAGAGGACGAACATGGACGTTGAAGATTCTAAAACGGAGGTCCCAGAGATAGATATCCTACATTAATGGTATAGATAAACCCGCCTTTGAAAAAGCCTTCTTGCCTTTTTTCTAAATAGAAAAATAGTAATTGTTCGTTATTCTTGTAGCTAGGGGCCCGGGATGAATGAGATAATCATGTAGAAAACAAGAGTTCAACCTTCGCGAGCTACACATGTCATTCATTGTGATTTGTCTGCTCATCTTGTTATTTTAAGAGTCTAATAAAATGACATATCACTCCCACGAATGAAAACTATCGAGGATAGGCAGGAAGAACTGAATATTTTGCGCCGTCTTTTCTCAAATCAAAATTGCAATCAAAATTGAAGTAAAGAAGATAACGTGAGAATAGACAACTTCCTAAACGTACTTTTTTGAAAATATATCCTGTATATGCATTGGAAGTTCCTCTCAAAGTTGCTGATTGACCATTAATTGACCATTTTCTACTATTACAAAAATGTGGGGGGGTGGGCGTCTGAGAGGTGAGTTTGCACTCATGTACAGGGGAATAATTCATAGATGTCTCGTGTTATGTTGACATATTTGATACAGAGCTTGTGTCCACTGATCCCTTTTTTTTTATTTTATTTTTATTTTTTATTGTCCATCTCCATTTGTTTAAAATAAAACAAAAATTCCTTTCAATCCCTTATAATTCATCGACAACGGACTCTTTTAATATAATCCACATTGACTACCGATCGAGACGGGCGGGGAAGTTGCCGGCTTCTATTTGACAGGAGACAGATTAATATATATATGTAGGTCCTTATGAGTTCGAACTTGATATCAGGGCTGAAAACATACCGCGTTGGTCATCCCATCTGTCGGTCCAACCCTTCGGGCAGAGTGATCTGTATGCGAGATAGAACTAGAGAAGGCAAGAGAGACAATATGTCAATATCGTTATACTATTATCGATCGTCTTGGTCTGGGCATATACAGGTAATGACGCGTGGCAATATTGGAGACATGGTCGTGGTATGGAGTAGATTTTGCGTCATTCTTACCTGTTTGCAAGGGCGGAAGTCTTCACCCTTGGCTATGATGCACTTGTGGTAGTCGACATAATTTTGCCAGCAGTGTTTCGTTCTGTGGTTTTCAAAGAGCACTTTAGTAAGTTAAACGAGCTCTCCATGCGACAACGATGAACAATATCGAGAAAGAATTGAAAAATTTAATCATAATCGCTTTATGGACAAATTGGATAAATCTTACTGGTTTTGATTGGGGAAACGGGCATCGTAGCCTTATTGTTTGTTTTACCGTGGCAAGGTCAGTTTCTATTTGACCTTTAAAGTCGGGGTTTTTTTAATGGGTTCTTCGGAATGTAGGGGAAACCATGGGGAAATGATTGTGCTCCTTATCCTAAAGCTCATTTCGCTCTTTATTACATACCGGCTGTTGCGGGGACGACTTAGTTAGCTGAGGAGTTCTTTCATCAACAGGTTGTGTGTTCGAGAGAGAAAGAGGGCGATGTTCTTACCAGTAACGAATTTGAACGGCTTGGTTTCGACGGGTTCGTCGGGGTCGGCGTCTGGGATGGGGCTCATGTTGTAGATGGTAGTGATTGGTGCGACAATTGCGTTGGTAATAACCACAGTAAACAGTGATGTTGAAGATGGCAAACGTTTGACGTTGAATGTTCGAAGAAAAGAGATGAGGTTTGGTTGGCTTGAGTGGTCTGACCTAACAAATCCCGTGAGCCGGCGAGAGTTGGCTGCTCATTGGGTGGCGAGATATAGGCCCGTTTCCAACATCAACTTCGCTTCCACCTCTGTGTGTCACTCCAATTATATCCACCACCACGAGATTTCCCCCTCTGCCTGTGATATTCAGTCACCATGTTCGCTACTCGCCCGCTGAGAATGCAGGTCACCCGGCCGCTCTTGGGTCCTTTGCCCGTTAGTCAATTATCCCTTCTTAAACTTGCCTTATGCCTGCCATGAAATCTGCGACCTTGCTAACTCAGGTGTCGATTTAGAAGGAAAACCAGAGTGGTATTTAATTCTCTCCCCTCCATTAACAGCCAACAATTACAATCCGTAAAAGAAGGAGAAGGACAGGAACTCTGCTGACCCAATTGCACAGCTCACACCATCTCCCAGCGCCTACGAACCCTGAAGAAGATTCCTCCAGAATTACTACCGCTTGGTACGTTCTCAAATTTAAATAAAGCACTTTCAATACCCATATATTATTACATTTCATTACATGATATACTAATTTGGCTGTTTCGTTGCTTCATACAGGCGCTGTCCTTTGGTAAGAAGTTCTCATTATCACCCCGCGAGGAAAGCAAAACATATCAAAACCAAATCAAAACGCCCTCTCACTCCACAAATGCCCGCCTGGAAGAAGGATAATGAAAAAAGAAAGAAAGAACATAAAAAGTGAAAGCCGATTCCACATAAAACCACATACTAACACATGCGTCTTAAAATACAGCGTCGCCCTCGGCGCAGGAATCTACTCCAGCATCAAAAAATTCAGAACAGACAAGACCCTCCGCCTCTCGCGACCCAAGCCTGAAGATATCCAGCACTAGAATGGGAAACCTGTAATGGACGGTTTGTTGATAGTTTTGGGGATATGACAGAAAAACTGGTGCCAATAAGAACGGCATCAATCGTGGGCGCAAAGTGTATTGCGGGATCCGAGGAGGATGATTGGGAGGATCTGTGTTCCGATTTTATAATCTGTATTGTTAGGCCCGCGCGTGTGGCATGTCTGTGTGAGTGCGTGTGGAGTAAATTTGGTGTTTGTATATAATCCTTTTTTCCCTTCTCCTTTCTGGAAAGGTGGGTTTTCAATACCATACACGCACACAAAAAGAAACAAGGTAACGTCTCCCTCAGGATTTTTGAAATCAAATTCTCATTTGATGGTTTTTCACTGCCCCCATTCATGGTAAATGTCAAATTTATAAGCGCATCCTGGAAACCATCCGAAAGCATTATTTATTCGGGCTTTGGGCCAGCGACGTCCAACCCCTCCAAGCCCTGCATGGGATCTTCGGGCCGGTTGTTACTCGATCCCGCTCCGCCCTGCCCAGTAGCGACTCTGTCCTCTTCGCTGACCGCATGTTGAGCCAGATAGCCCTCCTATCATCATCGTGAGAAGCTATACATTCAAGAAAAACGAATACATATTGGCAAAAACTCACCTGTTGCCAAATAGCAGTCTTACTCCCCAGACCCTCATTACTATCCTTTTGCGGCTTCGCCGCGGCAACTTTAATTATACGTCCGTACAACTCGCTCTGGTCCATATTGTCAATGGCTTCCTTGGCATCCTGGGGGTCTTCGAACTCGACATATCCGAAGCCCCGGTGTAGATCGGTCGAGGAAGGAGCTTCGGGCTTGGGGAGCGAGATATCTGCGATTTCGCCAAAGGGGAGGAAGGCCTCTGTCAGGGTACGAAGTGTGACGCTTTGGTCAAGGCCTCCGACGTAGATTGTGTTCTTTAGTCTTGAGGATTCGGACATTCCGGCGAGGAGTAGTATGTGGGACGGGGGAGGGCGGAATGGAATGGGGAATTGCGCCCTTAGAGTATTGTATTCATATAGCTTTGAGATATGAATAACTTCTCGGGCATATGTTTGTTAGAAAAGAGACATATTTATTTGAACTTTTGGAAGGATAATTGATACACATTGATCGTTTTCGGGCCAAACTGTGGCCAGGATCAGATATAGAAAGTCACGTGGAGATTCATGCGGCGCAGTTGTCGTGGCTGGTGTTGGTGGCTCCTCCACACAGAAGGACACCTGGATCAATATCAACCTTGCCAGACCAGAATACGGAAATATTCGGGGAGACTGAACGACGACTCTCCATATTGAGACGCCTTATTTTCTTCCTACCCACTAGATCTCCGGTCCCCAGATTGTCACTTATATTAGTTACGTATTCCCCGTCCCTGGGCGAACGACATAACCGCCTGGGACTCCTATCCAAGTTCCGCTTAAACCCCTTTCTCCCCCCATTATGGTCCGTCTAAGGGAAATCCCCCGCACAGCGGCCTTTGCTTGGTCCCCCGGTTCCGCTTCCCCGTACATCGCTACTGGAACGCGTGCCGGTGCTGTTGATGCGGACTTCTCCAACGAGACCGACTTGGAACTCTGGGATCTTGCTTTGGAACAGGAGGGAGGTTCTGCGGAGTTACAGCCGGCTGCAAAACTTAGCACTGAGTCCGGGTACGGTTTACTTTAACTTCCGTGCGTGTCAGAATGGTGGACATTTGAGATGATATATGACTGCACTGAGAGGACTAATGGCTTGTTTTGTAAAGATTTCATGATCTTGCCGTGGAGCAGAGTCGGAGGATAGTTCTAGGGGTATCATCGCAGGTGCATTGGAAAATGGATCGTTGGATCTTTGGAATGCTGATAAGCTGTTGAGCGGAGCGAGGTGGGTTTGTCTAGATCAATATATGCTTCCACCGGCTGCAACACCCTTCCGCATTACTGATATTAGTTCGATCAAAGCGACCCGCTGGTATCGAGGGCCTCGCAGCATTCCGGTCCCGTGAAAACGCTTCAATTCAATCCGCGACACTCGAACCTTCTAGCTACCGGCGGAAGCAAGGGAGAGGTTCGTATTTCCATGTCCTAAAGCGGCTTACTCAATTGGAGCACGTTCTCATACCCTATCTATCTATATAGCTTTTCATCTCAGACTTGAACAATATCGACCATCCGTTCCGACTGGGGAACGTCAATGTGAGGCTGGACGATATTGAATGCCTTGACTGGAACAAGAAAGTGCCGCATATTTTGGTCACTGGGAGCAGCGCAGGCTTCGTAACCGTGTGGGACGTCAAGACCAAAAAGGAGAGTTTAACTTTGAACAATTTGGGGCGGAAAGCTGTTAGTGCTGTTGCATGGGATCCGGAAAAGGTATATATACTGTCATCGCATATTATTAGAAGTCTCGCTTTCTGAAATGCACAGATTTTTGTTAACTTCTTTTAAATAGCCAACGAAACTTATCACCTCTATTCCTCTTGAGACAGATCCGTTAATTTTAGTTTGGGATTTGCGCAATTCCAATGCCCCTGAAAGAGTAAGCCCATATCAGCCCCCTTCCTTACGGGGAGTAGCTAACTTGAAATAGGTATTGAGAGGCCATGAATCTGGAGTGTTATCACTTTCGTGGTGTGCTCAGGATCCGGATCTACTATTGTCCAGTGGAAAGGACAATCGGACCATTTGCTGGAATCCTCAAACCGGGGTTCAATACGGTGAATTCCCCGTCGTGACGAACTGGACTTTCCTGACACGATGGAACCCACACAATCCGAATATGTTTGCTACAGCTTCATTTGATGGTAGAATTTCCATTCAAACTATCCAAAATACCAAGAGTGATGCCATTGCACAGGCCGGAGCAAGCCAGGTTCAACCTGTGGACGATGAAGACTTTTTCGCAAAGGCTCAGTCACAACCACAGGCTTCCACGTTCTCGTTGCCAACAGCCCCCAAATGGTTGCAAAGGCCTAGCAGTGTTTCGTTTGGCTTTGGCGGTAGAGTCATCTCCGTCGGCTTGACTGACCCAAGCAAGCCTGCCTCTCGCACCTCGAAAGTCAGAATAACTCCGTTCGAAGTAGATTCAATTCTCAGCAGTACCACTCAAACATTTGAGGAAGCTCTTAAAGCAGGCGATCTACGTAGAATATGCGAAACTAGAATTGAAAATGCGCAAAATGATTCGGACAGAGCTGATTGGAAGATTATTGAAACATTGATATCCGACAATCCAAAAAAGCAGGTCATTAATTATTTGGGCTTTTCGAGCGAGGTTGATGAAACGGCTGACAGCCTCTCGAAACTTGGGCTGGGGAAGAGTGAAGATGGGGGTGCTAATGGGGTGCCGGAATCAGATTCTCGTGGTCCAGGAGTAAAGAAACACAAACGGTTATCTTCGATTTTCGATACACATGCCGACAGTGACAACTTCCTTACCGACTTGTCTGCGTCGAAAGGTGCCAAGACAAATAATCCGTTCCAGATCTACACTGGTTCGGAATCTGAGGCTGATAGAGGAATCACACGAGCGCTCCTTCTCGGAGACTTCGAGAAGGCGCTTGACATATGTCTCCAGGAAGACCGGATGTCTGATGCTTTTATGGTTGCGATATGCGGAGGCCAAAAGTGCATTGACAAAGCCCAGGAAGCCTATTTCCAGAAACAATTGGAAGGGCCTAACTATCTCAGATTGATGGCTGCTATCGTTGGCAAAAATCTGTGGGACATTGTCCATAATGCAGGCCTTGCAAACTGGAAGGAGGCCATTGCTACTATCTGCACCTTTGCAACCGATGCAGAATTCCCTGATCTCTGCGAGACGCTAGGAGACAGGCTTGAGGAACAAGCCAAAGCCGAAGGCGACAAGGAAGGTCGTAAAAATGCGGCTTTCTGCTTTTTGGCTAGCTCAAAGCTTGAGAAAGTCGTGGGAATTTGGATTGATGAACTTCAAGAGAACGAAAATAAGGCTATCCAGGAAGCCACTAACGGCGAGACGAGTTTCTCGATCCATGTCCGTGCCCTGCAAAGCCTAATCGAGAAAGTGACTGTGTTCCGCCATGTGACGAAGTTTGAAGATGCAGAAAAGCAAAAGCCGTCTGATTGGAAGCTTACCCTTCTCTATGACAAGTATATTGAATATGCTGACGTCGCTGCCGCCCATGGACAATTGGGCGTCGCAGAAAGATATCTTGACCTACTACCCCAAGCTCATCCTGCCGCGGTGGTCGCAAGAAATCGGATCAAGCTCGCTACCGAGAAGACTACCGCGAGATCAGCTCCTGCGCATATCTCTGCCGCCTCCCATTTGACTACGAAACCCCTTCAACAGCTCAATGTTCCTCATGGAATGTACAACCCAAGCGCACCCATGACCCAAGCAAACAACCTTTACAAACCGCCAGCTCCTATGCAAGTCAGCAATCCATATGCTCCAGCAGGCGCCTCATCTGCTTATTTTCCAGCTGGCTATCAACCGTCGCAACAACATCAACCAACGGTTCCTCTTGGAGGCCCACCACAAGCATTCGGAACTGCCCAGCAATCAAACATCGCCCCACCACCCCGTGCTGCCAATCAATCACCATCAACGGTTACATCTTACACACAGGCAACGAATCTTCCAGCCTGGAATGATTTGCCTGAAGGGTTTGCCAAAGCTCCAACACCACGGCGCGGTACCCCGAGCGCAGCTGCTGCTACCATCAGCTCACCCTTCCCTCACCAGCAACCCCCACAACCTTCACAATCCCCCCAAACGATGTCCCCTCACCAGCCTCCACCCCCTAGACAAAGGACCTCGATGGCAGTCCCACCTCCACCCAGAGGCCCAGCTCCCCCGCGAATGACATCACCTCCAGCAATGGGCCAGCCGCATGGATTCCAAGCACCCGAAAGACCTCCCTCAACTTCAAGCGCATATACCCCAACCACCCAGCATGCCCCAACTGGGCCAGGGATGAACGTTCCTCAAATCCCTCGTGGGCCTTCGCCTTACAATGCACCTCCAACCGGACCACCGCCCTCCAATCGATATGCGCCAAGCCCTGCAGCGCAACCATCTGCTCCTCAACCTCCTCGACCGGCGGTTGCGGCACCACCGCCCACTGGGCCTCCTGCACCTGCGCCAGCCCAATCTCCATATGCGTACCAACATCCTCCTCCTCCTGCACATGGGCCATACGCGCCACCTAGGGCCCCTACGGCGGCAAGACCAGATCATCAGCCCTTGCACCAGCCTCCACCTCCAGGTTCTTCACCGGTTTCGCGACCAGGAACTGCACAATCGCAGAGGAAATCAGCCCCAGCTGCGAAATATCGTAAGTTTCACATCCCCCCCAAATATATTTATAATACAATACCCTTGTACATCAAAACTAAGTACGAGTAAAACAATAACTCGAAACAGCACCCGGGGACCGCTCCCACATTCCTGCCAACGCTCAGCCAATCTTCGAAATCCTTTCTGCAGACATGCAGCGTGTCAAAGCGCGTGCACCAACCTCGTTTAAGGCGCAGGTCAACGACGCAGAGCGACGACTGAATATACTCTTTGACCACTTGAACAATGAAGATCTGCTTAAGCCTGCTACGGTAGAGAGCATGGCTGAACTTGCGCGGGCGCTGCAGGCCCGCGATTACGAAACGGCGCAGTCGATACATTTGGATATTTTCACTAATCGGAACGATGAGTGTGGGAATTGGATGGTGAGTTTTCTCTTCTTTTTTTCCCCCAGTAATTCGGGCAGCGTTCATTGTATTCCATACAATGAATACATGAGATGAAGGATGTGGCTAACGACTTTACTATTTTGCAACTTAGGTTGGTGTGAAACGGTTGATTGGCATGAGCAGAGCGACGCCTTGAATTTAGCGATTATAAACTGTTTTCAAATCTACGGTTTCGTTTTCGTTCTTTCGTTTTCGTTTTTCAACGTCTTTCTCATTTATACGACGCCTTCCTTTGTTCAGGCGTCTCATTTATCAGAAGTAAACGTAAGTCCAAAATGGAGGGAAGGTTGAAACCGTGAACATATATATTGTTGTCTCTTCTACATCTTTTTTGTCTTTTTCTTTGTCTTTTTCGTTCGAATATGAATATCAATTTGAAGTTGTTGTTTTGTTCGAATGTTCAAAATGTAATTCCAAAATGTTTGATTGTTTGAGGATAACATTGGTCCTTTCTTCTTTTACCGACTATTTTCTACTTTTTCCCTATTCTTATATGGGATTGAGGTATAGTCATAAGGTTGTGTGCATAAAACCGCTCCGTCCACTAACATCTATAGACGTTAACCCAACCTCTCAAACCTATTAGGACAGAAAGCAGTAGCCACAACCGTGGAGTATGCTGGGCATCGATGGGATTGATGAACAAAATATTACTGCAATGTGCAAGCAACGCTGAGGACATCGTGGCTAAGGAGGAGCCGTTGAAAATGGTATTGTCAATGCAGATGACAGAGGAGGTGTGAAAGAAGTACTGGGCAGTGACAACGCAGGCGAACCCGGCGATGCGGAGGAGAGAGCCTTTCCGGGTCAGTTTTACGAAATACACAATTACCAGGCTTTGGGCAAAGAAACAGAAGGCAGGGAAGACAATCCTGGTGGTAGCCTCCAACGTGACCCAGAGTCCATTAGGCGGTTGACATTGCTTTAATTGGCTGAAATTGTAGACGCGACGTCGGCACTCAGGTGAATGGTGCATAGTGGGTTGTAGATCATCCTGATTCAAATCCTGTTGTATATATAGTTGTAAGGCCACAGAGCTATATTTACTGTACAGTGGCTTTAAGTTCCCATCGCTTTACCAACTTGCCATCTCTTACGGCCTAACAAAGTGGGTTTGGCGTTGAAGCTTTTCGCAACATGTTGGCTAACGTATACCTTCACAGATGATTGATAACACCAATGAGTGTATAATTAATGCAAAATGAAATATATGCCATATAAACATTGGTTTAAAAGTGAACGGGAAAATTGAGTAGAAATTTGAGAACACCGAGTTCACAGGTAAAAGGAAATGAAATGAATACATTGACCCAGAATGATCCTGCTTGTAAGGTTCATTGACAGTTTGATGACAAATTAAAATATGTATATAAGAAGGAAACTGATATAAAGGATATACAGGAATTGCGCCTGAGAAATGGGGACATGACCATATTGGTTCGCACGCGCTCTCTCAAACGGATATAATAGGGGGAAACATCAGACACATGAAGGGAAAAGCAGGAAATAAAAATTGATTCTACCGGGCTACCGGGCACCCGTGTTTGGAACTGGGGCTCTGATTCCTCCACCAGCAGGGAAATTCCTTGCACTTAGCAATGTTCCTTTGACACTTCGAATTTCCGCTTTGAAAGCTGAAATCGCATCCGCTTCTTCATTCACATCACTGAAATTCCCACTTATTGATCCGGAATTGTCGTTATATAGTCTATATAGGTTCGAGCACAAATACGGTGAAGGATTGTTGTAGATCAGTCCGTCTAGGTAGTTCTTCAATTCACCGAGAGACTTCTCGGTACTGTTATGTGTGATGCCAGAGTTCTCCTCTTCGGATAGGTAATCAGCCAATTGTGAAGATATAGATTGTAGACGTTTCACATGAGTATCCACAGTCTTCTCTGATGATGGAAGGTCGGCAGCGTTGAGGCCCATCGATTGGCAATGTGGGATTGGGTGAGAGTTCCGGGGATGTTTGTGTTGCAATGTCCCTGTGGAACAGCTCTGTTGGATCTGAGATTATGGACACGGAATCGTCATCGATTAAATCCTGTTCATGCTGCGAGGAATGCTGGTGGATGGGCGGCGGCGGAATTGAGGAAACCGTGTTTTCGAGCTTTTCATTCAGAGTACTGAGGTTGCGTTGGGTTGTTTCGGCTAATTCATGTCGGGCGCGTGACAGCTCCGCCAACATTGGATTGATAAGGAACTGGCTAGCGGCATATAATGTAGCAGCAAGCCCGCCAGCACCATAAAGCGTGTACATAACACCCTGCAAGGTAACTAGGGGTGGTGGTTTCTGGGTGTGGAGGAGGAATTCGGGGTATGTGATAATTGGCGGTGTTGTTGTCGTTGGAGGGCTTGGGCTGTTTGAAGGAGGCGACGGTGAAGTCGCACTAGATGTATCCACATGAGCTATCTGAGCACTGGATGGTATGTGCTTCACGGAATCTGTAGATATAGATGGCGACTTCGCGCCTGTATTTGTAGACTCGGGGCTTCTTGGAACACGGAGCAGTTTTTGGATGTCCGCATTTTCCAACCCTTTAGACTCGAGGAACGCAATCTTTTTATCGGCAGGGGCATCTCGTATGGACTCATCTTCGAGGAAGACGGAAGCTTGCTCTATGAGAGTCTCTCTTGCGGGGGAGTCTGTCTTCTCTAGTTCCACTTTTGGAGCGTTGACGGCCGTCGCAGAATTCGATGTGTGTGTCCGAGTGTGAGAGTTGCCAGCTAGGAATCGCAGGAGCTTCAATTTTGAATTTTCACCCATGATTGCCCATGACAAGATATAGAGGACAGGGACTAGAATGCAATGTTTCGCGATATTGTTGTCCCCTTGAAAACGAAGGCGGTGTTGCTGTCGCCATCTGGGATTGAAGGTTCCGCCCATAGTAGATACTCCTCGGCTTCTTTGTAGTTAGTTGACCAGAGCATGGTAATATTGGTAATCCAGATACAACACCTACGGAGGCACCCCGAAGTCTGCTGTAAGGCATTACGGGGGCAAAACTACTTCTTCCAGCAGTCAATTACTGTGGCTCATAAAGTACCTCTGTATCGGCCACGATCTGACATATATTTTGCCAACTGCTGCTCTTGAACAATGTTGAACAGTTTGGCGATGAGCTGTTCAACAATTATCCTGCACGGCAAATAGATCCAGGAATGATACTGCCCGGACCGGTCAATGATACGCTGAGAATTTAAGTTTCAATGCGATTTGGCCCGTCTCGAGTCCAGGTGGCAGTGAGCTTATTCTCACCCGGTATCCGCCTTCTATCCCGCCCACCGCCTGGAAAACCGAAAGTCCATGGCAGACAGGCCTCTGACGCGAGTTTGGAAGCAGCCTGACCTTGAATCGTCGTACTACCATAATACGGAGGTCGCCAGCACCAGCAGCACGGACGAAAATAGCGACCACTGGCAACCCCAGACCCCAAGTCAACCAAAATCTTCTAGGTAAGGTTTACAATTTTGGAATGGATTGATTCTCAGCCCAGTTTCTTGTTTGGGTCTACCAAATACTTTTCAGCGGTGACTCCCAGCGTCTACGCTTATTTGCTTCCCATCACATATTAACTTCGTCTGCGAGGTTCTTTGCTGGTTGGGGGTTCGGGACGCGCTTTGCCGCCAGCTTAAATAAGAACATCCTAACCATGTTCAAGCGTTGTTGCTCTGCTGGCTCTTGAGTAGCAAGCAAGATAAACGATACAGTTTTAGCACGGTGACCGTCATGCCCAAAAGGCGTTTGGAAGGGCCAGCATCTGGGAACTCTAGCTCTTTGTACTCACGCACATATCTCTCTGCCCATGGAGAATTGCCAGCGTGATGCCCATTTGCATATGTGACCTTTCGTTGGTTTCTCAAACTTTCCTGCATGCACATTCCCTGCTGCCTTTTGCCATACAAAACCAATTCAGCTTGCACCTCAGGGCTCAGTTGAAAATCATCTCCCTCTGCCAGCCCCTCATCCTGCTTATACATCTTCATTTATATGCTATTGCAATCCCCCGCTTCCACATCAATCCCTACATGCCTTGAGAACTATGATGAGAGAGCCCTTTACTTTTTGACCCGACAATTGCAAGATTGCATACCTTACAATGTCTTCCCAACGTTCTCTTCAATCCCTTACCACTAAAACTAATATTCCGTTTTCTCCTTCTAACTCTACCTTAAGATCTCGCAGGGCCGGAGACGAGACTCTGTCCTCGCCATCAGTCACCGTGTCCCGTCTGCCGCCCAGCCCCCCTAAGGACGTAAACAAATCTATTCGTCTGAAAGTTAAAATGCCCTCGAGCAAGCTCAAAGAGGTTACTGGTGGTCCTGATAAACGGCATCACAATATTTTTACAGAATCGGTGATTATGACCGGGCCTAGGAATAGTCGATCGAAGAAGACGCTAGTGGAAGTGGATACAGATGAGGATGAGGATGTTGACGAATCGATGAATGAAGATGATGAGGAAGAGTCGCATATGTCTGATGCGGATGGGACGGATGATGAAGGAAACGGAAATGAGAGTGAGGATGCCGATCTCGATGTCGACGTCGATGCAGATGCTGAGACTGATGCCGATGCCGATGTTGATATGGATGATATACCGCCAATTGCCCCAGGCGCCAAACAGGCGGCGTCACGGCCGATTGTTACAGTTACGCCCGCCGGGGGTAGCAGGCTGAAGAATATGGACACGAATATGGACCTTGATGGCGACGACGAAGACGACGACGAAGAACTTTCGGAGTTAGATTCCGATGCTGATGCCGATGGGGAACCGGATGAAACGGCCATGGCGGATGAAGCTTCAGAGATTGTAGAAGAGGAAGAGATAGAGGACGACGAGGACGAGGAAGAAGAAGAGTTAGAAAGTGACAGCGGCACTCCTATTACTGGCAGTCGAGCAAGTACTCCCGACGTAACAAAAATGACTAAACGACAGAGAGGCCGTATGGAGCTTGGGGGTGACTTCTTACAGTTGCCAATGGGTAAGATTGTTTTCATTAAGGATTAAATATATTCCCACCTATACATTTCAAAATTAGATTTTAACACTTGCATGTAAAACATACAGAACCGCAGGTGAAGAGACACCTGACTGCAGAAGAGCATGCTATGCGGCGAGCTGAAATGGCACGACGACGGAAAAATCTCAGCGAGAAGCGCAATGAAGAAGAAAAGGTAACCAGACCCTACTCCCTATTTTAAAATAACCCGGGCACTGTCATCTATTTAAATTGCAATATCACTAACAACAGGGAAATGAATTAAGATGGATACAATCAACAAATTACTCAAGAAACAGGCCCCCAAACGACGGGGCAAGATCTCGGCAGCCGAACCAGCAGCTGGAGACACAACCCCTGGAACCCAAGAGTTACAGGAGCCTGAAAAACCTGACCCAATTATGATACGCTATGTTTCGAACCGTGATGGCTGTCGGATTGGGATTCCGCAAGAATGGTTCGGAACCCCTGCCGGGCGGATCTTTGGAGATATGCCCATGAACGGGAGCTCTGGGCCTAGCCAGGGTCACAAACTTGTGGAAGAAGTCTAAAACATTGAAGATGGCAGTGTTCTTTTCATGCTTTCTTCTTTTTATAGAGCAAGGCGTTTAGTCTATTCGGTTTTGGGGTCATTTTTAATGTGTGGGATGGCCTTTTTCGGGAAGCAACTGAATATGGTCATGATGTATATTACTCTCAAAATGGTGTTGTTATTTGTTATAGTCATCGGTTGGGCAAGGCATTTTAATAATGCGATAATATATATCGGCGCTCCCGAACCTGTGCAAAAAAAAAAAAAAAAAAAAAAATACCTCGTAGGATTGTAACACCAGAGAGCATCCCTGTTACAGTTGTCCTTAAAAATGATATATATGTAAATGCTTGGCACTGTATCCCCCTTTAGTCTCAGGGCCATCTGTGTATTTTCTTCGAAATAGCTTTTCAAAAATTTTTGTCAGGCCCTGATTTCCCATGTGTTTGAGGAGCGTGGCTGGCGTTTCGGTCTTTGCTACTGAAACATCTCCCGGCCAAAAGCATTCCGTAGGTCATACTCTTCTTTATATCGCCCGGATCATATCATATTCATACTTCCAAAATTCTAGGAAGCTGTAAAGACATGGTTCAGAGGAAGCCGGGAGATTTGGTTAGAAGATTCTATCCTCTTTATCTCTTTGATGTTGATAGAATAGGGCGATATATATTCTTCACTTTTCCTTCTAAATGTCACTTAATGGAACCGGGAAGAAACGTTCATCTCACTATTATAAACTGCCTTAATTTCCACAGGAGCTGTCCTGTGTCAGTCTCCAATGTCTATGTGAGAAGACATAATCATGTCGTATGGTTTGTTCATAGGACCCTCAATAACCGTGTGATTTGGCTTCATTCCACAGATTGCAGAATTCGCTTTCGCTTAGCAACTTCTGGTTACTTTTTGGGAGATTCTGGTGTGGTTTTAGGAGTGCTATTAATTTCAGATGTAGCAGTCACATTGTTCGTAATCGACTTTGGCTGGGATGGTTGTGATGGTGTTGCTGATTCATTCCCGCTATATAGTTTGACATCAAACATTATTTAGCAGACGTTCGCACATATACTTGCAGGCCTACCTATAAGGGAATTAGAGTAGAACTTACTGCGTCTTCTCATGCTTTTTATCTGCCTCTAGACTCATAAACGAGGGCGCGAATGTCACATATCCTGGATTTTCAAAGGTTAACTGCCGGAAATTGGGAAAACGGCGGGCAATTATTTAGCTACCATTGAGGACACCAAATCCTACAGCTAAGGCAACTGGGAGAAACCCACGTATTCGACCCATTGTAGACAAGGATTGTGATTGTTTAATTCTCCCACTCAAACTTAACTCATCTAACTTAACTAGTTAACTACATAACTACCTCCAAACAAAAAGTTTATCTCAGCAAGCTCAGCCGCTTCGCAGGATAATTGCTGTTTTAACACTGATTTAATGATTAGTCACTCTTTTAAACAAGCTAATCTCAAATTGGTAATGAGCTAACCCAAATAAGTCTTTGATCCCGTGATGTGCAATTATCCTGCAAAGCGTCTGAGAAAAAACGGTTCCAGTTTGTTAGCAACACGGGAACGATTTGCTCTTTCCTTTAGGTATGGGTGAGAATACCAAACCAACTCCATCTATTCAGCATCTCTGTACCACCTTGGGACCTAGGAAAATCAATGTTCTTGCGATGGTATCAATTTTTATTTTCATATTCCCATTTCTTAGATATGAAGTATCACCTCAAAGTCAACTCATTTTTTTTTAAACACGGGAACAATCTGCTATTTACTTGATTTCAATCAGAAAAAAAGTGATCATTTTCAACAAGATACATCTATATTAAATATTGATTTTTTTAATATAAAAATTATATATTTATATTCTTCTTCTCTTTAGCTACAAGCTAAGGTGGTTCACAAATATCAAATATGTATGATGATTGTGTAATTGAAAATCAAAGTTGAACAATTTGAAGAATCTAAAGAAAATCTCAACAATCTCCACAGAAGGATGAACCGTTTCTTCTCAGACCCTCTGGCGAGGATTGCTCTGAGCACATGACTTGTAACTAAAGTAGTTTAGTGTCATGCTGCTGCAACCGGAGCCATAGTGGGTCGCTAACAAAAAGTATTGTTCACAAATTCGGGTCACGTGGCTGGTAGTTCAAGTCGCGTCTCTCAATGACGCGTCCAGAGCCTCATTAATGAGCCTGGGGAGATAACCCTTCTGAGTATTCCCAACACCTTTGCTAATTTCACCTATTCAACACATTATTTGCTATGACAGCATAGGGCGATGGGTAATCACCGTTGGTTTGCAAATGGAACTATGGCGAGAGCGTGGCTTCGTTCCAGACTCGGATGAAGAAGACGATTTCGAGAGTCAGCAAAGCAATAAATTGAGTGAAAAGAACGGAAATACATCGACGCCTGGCATACGTGGAGAAGATGAAATCGGGAACGCGGGTGTTCAGGGAAACCACAGAGATCGGGTGCAAGATGGCCAGGTTATTTTCCCGGCATCGGGCAACGAACTTTTTGAACGGCAGCCAACGAAGAGGTTGGGTGGAGAGGCCGGAAAGATAATGGAACCGGATACACATAGAGATGAACTTATCCCGAAGGACCTGAATCCCGCAGGAGATCAAGACCAAGAACAAAAGGAAGAGAGCCCTGAATCTCATGTCGGCCCTGACGAGTTTGGTAATGCATTCTATGCAGGGGATGAGCTAGACGAAGACCCGCTCCAATGTGATGATGGCTTGAATAAGTTTGCCTCAAGAATTGAACTGCCCAGCACCACCACTGGGAACACTACGCCTTCATCGGATGCCATTCGCCGTTTATCCTCAAGCACAGACCGGAGTTCCTCGCCTGATGAGCTACAATTCGATGAGCATTTTCCACCACGCACCCCAGCTACAAAAGACTCACAATCCAACAACCTGAAAGGGGATGTAGGGGATTATAGCGAAGATTCATCGTTGTCGCCAGCTCCGTCGAATCCACAGACTCCGCCGTCTTTTCGAAATCAAGGCGCAGGGAGAACGTTAAGAGGCCGGAAATTCATCAATCTCCACCCCTACCTGGCGGACCAGGTGGAGTACCAGAGATGGTGTGCAAGTAACAATATACGCCCGGTCCGTATTGCACCTGCAGACCGTGATTCTAATCCTCAAGATGAGTCACAAGGCCAGGAATTTGTGGATGAAAATGCGCCACCATCGAGTAGCCCTGCTGCACCGTTCCGATTCCCACCCGGATCTCCGTCTGCTGGATCCAAACGAAAGAAATTAACACAACCTGCACGACCACTTCGAGAATCCCCTCAGACTGGCAACTCCAGGAATGGCCCCATGCATTGGCGATCTGCAAAATCACAGCAGCTTTCTACAATAGATGGACAAGACTCTGCCCGTAAGCGCAGAAAAATAATGCGCACATACGGGAACGCACCGGGAAATGAGTCCGAGGAGACCAGAAAACACCAGATACAGGTTGTCGTTGACAATAGAGTGATGGAAACTCCACCCCTTGAAGACGAGGGTATCTTCGATGTTCCCTTGTCATCTCCTTCGTTTCGGCGGACATCGCCGAATAATAGGGTTCAGAAACCAGCCATATTCCGATTCCCTCGTGGATACAGTCTTTCTCCGCCACGAAGTCCGATTTCACATAAACCACAAAGCCCTCGAAATTCGGATGCCATATTGGCAGACGATTCACTACACGTTGATTTTGAGACCCATCCGAAAATAGGCGGGAACGCAAACTCACAATCACAACCACCCCTATCGATGGAAGAGGTTGATGTGGAGCAAATTCACCCACCAGAAGAAACGGAAGACCTAGAAGAGTCAGAATATCATGCGGCTCTTGAAATCCAGAGGCTCAGGAGGAGGATCAAAGGGGTGCTTCCCGCCTCGTGGCCACGACTTGACCTCAAGCAGCAACAAGAGAGGGAAAAGGCAGCGGCTGAGAAGGCAAGACTTAGTTACTTACGCAATCGTCGCCAAAGCGGCAAAGGAGTAGCCCGGAGAATAACCAGGGATAGGAGCGATAGCCATAATCAAGGAATGCGGCAGAAAACTCTCTTCATCTCTGATGAGTCAACTTCGGATGATGAGCCAACCTACGCTGTTCAAAGCTCACGGGAGATTCTGTCAGAAGTGATAGACAAAGATGACCTATTTGTAGGGGACGTCGCTGATGACATTCCTGAAGATAACCGTATTGACTACATGCTACCGCCAGCACCACGGAAAGGAAAGCGTCGCACTCTGGGATCCAACAGGCAAAACAGATCACGCTTTCAGACGTCCTCAAACTCGAGGAAACGTCCACTGCACCAAGCGAGAATAACAGATACACTGACAAGATTACGCACTTCAGCTGAGCTGCCGGAAACCCGGCTTCCGCGATTAGGAGTATTAGATGTAGCTGACGTACAAGACCAGCCAATGCAGAAACAGCCGCAATTCCTCCGCGTCGCAGCACGACAAGCCCGATCCCGCCGAGACCGTGGTCGGAAAAGCCCAACACGAACATATTTAAAACTTGGAACAAGCCGGGACACAGAAGATGCCAATAGGTCATTAGCGGAGTGGCGGGCCGGTTTGCTTCAGCAAAGTAAAATGACGGGAAGCCATGCAACAAAGATTTCGCGACAGACATGCACAAACTCTGTGGCATCCCATAACCACGTCGAGGCCAATGAAAATAGAGTACATCAGGTTCGGACCGGTACAGTATATCCTATGCCCCGGAGTGATGTCGATGCTAGAAGTCCCAAAAGCGACTTGATCAGGCCTACTTTAGAATTGCGCCCTACAGCACAACAGGAAGGTGCGAATCCATCAAGCCCTCCCCACTCTCGACGCAAGGTTGGCCAGCGCTGGGCAATACGGAAAGGCGGCTATGCGATTTCATCCCTTCGACGAAATGCACCCAGACCGGCACAATTGGACATCCCTATGTCGAGCAGCCATAGTCTGGGTCATGCATCAAGCTTTCAACGTTCTCTTTCGGCACTCAATTCCTTATACCAAACCACGACTTCACGTCTAGGCCGAAATACCGGCTTGCCGTTGGCAAGATTTTTAACCGAAAATATGCATCCACAGAATATCCGTCTGGCGACATCCAATGAGAATTCCAACGCCCGTGATGACGTCGTACCATCTGCCGAAAAAGGTCAGATACGTCGCCCTCGCCAACGGAGAAAACTTCCTCCCCAACATGTCAATGTGGAGGATAGTGTTGAAAATCCACAGGCCGTTAGCGTTGATAACCATGTGGCAGAGATCCCTTCCATTACATCAATTGAAAGCAGCGAACACCCTCCTCTAAAGGGTCTTAAATCCCCGTCAACGATGTACACGATCAATTTTGACATTTTTCCGCTCCCAGTTGGCACCTTTTTCCATTCATCTACATTCATTGGAAGTGGGGATCTTTCACGTTCAATGAAACTCTCATCCCGTAATCTATCCCATGATAATGGTCGTTCTGTGATACAGCATGCCGACCAAACCTACCAGTGGGGCCCATGGAATGAGACTGTATCCTCGGAACTTGGTGTTTTGTTAGATACGGTTTTAGAAGCAGCCAGCAATTCCGAACCCTCAAGCGAGCGTATAGCACCTGATTCGTCTTCGAAATTAAGTCGGTCGTTAGATATCTTCCGTTCTATTATTACTTACGTGAATGACAAGTTATATTTTATGGACTCGGTTGATAGGTCGATGTTTGTTGATAGGTGCATAGTTCTTCTATCAAAAGTTTCGGATATGTTGCCATTCTCGATAACAAACAGTCGCTCTGATTCCACCACAACTCCACATCACCCTTTGAAATTGGAAGTGTTTACTTACGTATTTGCTAATCAAATACGCCAAATTGCATCGAATGGGCTAGTTCAATCTATCAAGTATTTTGAAATTGTCAGTATTATGACGACGATTCAAAATCGGATATTGCAAGCCGTTTTAAGCAAAACAGGATTAGCAGATATTAGACAGTTTCTGGACGATGTTAAATGGCGAGAGAAGCGAGAACCTGGAATCAAAGACGATCATCCTTTCTTGGAAGCATTTCTCGTTGTTCAGAAGATATTTTATACGGACCGCATACTTCGTGGTACGAACCAAGACCTTCTTTCCCAGGCAGTATTGCCTCCATCAAGCTCACCCGCGCCAAATGACTCCCATGAACTGGAGAAATTATGGCATGGAGTATTTATGACGCTTCCACTTTATGAATTTGACGAGCTCGGAATTTTCCACCCCGGCCAACGCTTTAAAGACACCTTTGATCAGTGGGAGACTATCAAGCGCTTGATAGTACCCGTCTTTGAGACTTACTCTCTTCCTTCAAAAAGGTCATCCTTAGCCTTCAACAACTATTGTCGAGCGCTCTTCCACCGCTGTTTTTATTTGATTGACAGTTGGGGCTGGCGGCACAGCAAAGTTATTCTGGACACGCTCTTCGATTTTTTTGCAAAAAACTGGCTTTACAATCTTAACCAAGAGCAATCCCTCGGCTCACCAAAGTTTCTAGACGAACTTGATCGCCAACCAAGACTAGAAATGGAGCCTAAAGATAGCTGTTTTCATATTTTGCTGAAGACCATTGCCCTCGGCCTCAAGAAGATGACGGATCTGTACGATAGGAAAAAGATCCGAAATTTTGCCTGGCGCTTGTTGCCAAACCACGGCCGGGAGTATCCAAAAGACCAACCTCTTCGCTTGGAGGAGCTTGAAGCCCTAAGGAATCACCACGATCTCCTTTGTACGCTCTACTGGGCTACCCCTGACACCTGTCGACCGCGAGTTGAAACTATCCGTAACCTTGTGCACCCCGCCACAGCTCATAAGGAGGTCTGCAGCATCAACATTCGTTCCTGGCTGAGGCTGGTTAAATTCAAATTATCTACGGACGAAGATATCGCCGGGTTAATACCCTTTGCCGATTGGCATGCTTCCTTCGTTGCTGACATGTTGCAACAGCACTCCCATGCTCGGACTGATGTAGATGCGCAAGTGGCTTCAAATTCACTGTTTTCTCGCCAAATTGTTGAAAAGGCTGTTATTGAGTATCAGAAACCGATAGAATGTCTCTTGAGCGATGCCCTGGTCAACTTGAAAATTGCAATTGATGCTACAACAACTGCTGACCAATCCAAGATCCTACTGGAGAAACTCCCTTTCTCCAAACTACTGGAGCTCTTCAACCCTAGGATAGCGCGCTTCCATTCGCTCATTTGTAAAGCGTTAGATGTTGTGGTTGCTTACGCAAGTACTACCATTAAATCACGGAGATTAGCAGGACCTGCTGAGACATGTGATGATAGCCAAGAATTTGAGGGTTGGGCGGTATTGGCAGAGTTATATGAACAAGAAGAGACAGCAGCCGAGGCAAACCCACCCGTTGAGTACCTAAACAACATCATTCGCCCTTCGTTATCTCGATTTCTTTCTACCTGTTATGGAGAAGACCAAGCTCCCGACGACATTGTGCTTCTTAAAGTCGTTGATTCCTGGTCGTCGATCGCTTACACTCTTGTGAATAACGGGTTACGAGAATGGAGCAGCTATGTCAATCCATATGGTGAAGACTCATGGGCCTCGTTAAGAGCCACACATCAAACGCGAAAATTTTTGCCCTATTTTCTTGCAAGCTTGATCGAAAAAGACACAGCATTCTATACAGAATGCCAGTACCAGATATTGAACCACTGGATCGAATGCATTGTCGAGCGGGGTTCGATGCTCAAGTATCAACACTCTTTGACCAATGCCATAATGAACACCGATGCCTCAAGTGCACTACTGAAGAATCTTCCGTTCTCGAAAAGTTCATTAAAGTGTCGGTACGAGATTACTCTACAGGAATTTTCCCAGAGGAGATTGTCGCTTATCTCATGTATTCTTTCCAACATGCGGGAACATCTATCTGATGCTGAAGATATCAGTGCCCATGCTGTGCAAAATACTAGGAGTCGCTACCGCAGACTCATTGAAACCCTGATGAACACGATGAAATCGAATTATAATGAATTGGGCAATGTCGATTCCTCGGTACATTCCTCATATGTGAATTTTGTACATGGCGTCGTTGCATTTCTCCAACAACACTCACAAAAAATATGTCTACTTGATCCTTTTTTCACAAACCCGAGCACGTTTCCTCTTCCTGTGAATGATCCTAACTACATTGTCGGCAAGTTGAAAAGTTATGCAGTTCGGCTCACATCCAGCAAGGTTGCCAACGAACTCTTTACTTTTCTTCAGCATGTATCGGAGCGAGCGGCTGTTGACGGCCAACAGACTTACTTAGTTGATCAGCTCTACTCCGTCATGGCCGAAACCTTTGAAACCAATGAACGCCACCAATCCACTATCCGTCTGTTCATGCTCCATTGCGTTCTCCCGGCTTATCTGGAAATATGTCTTATTGCTCCTGGGGCATGGATACTGGTGCGGCCCCTGTTGCAGTCGCTGACGCGGATGTTAATGGACTCGATTTTATTCATCAACACATGTGACATCAACAACGTCTCCACATTTGTGGGGCCCATGGTCTGCTACTTTGAAGCAGTGGACAATGCTCTTCGTCTTTTAGTAGACCACCCCGGCCTACTCGACGAACCGCATATCATCCTTACCGTCATTTCCCTACTCGAAACAGTCATCACATCACTTCCTGCGATCGACTATCTCTATCGAATTTCGATTTCGGACCAAGCCACCACGCTTGTCGCATATGTGGATATCTTCAAGCAGTTTATACTTTTCGCAACATCCACTCTCTTGAATCCCGCTGACGCTGTTGCCCCACAGACCCTTGACATGGTTCTCATTGAGGACACTCAAAAAATTAATGATTATCCCTCGCCACCGCCGTTCTTTTCAGATGCTCGCGACTTTGCAACTCGTGGTCTGCAGTCCCGGTTCCAGGACGGCTGGACTTTTCATAATGGAAAATATTTTGTTCGCCCTGAGCATACCCATCAGGTAAAGGAGGTTTTCGTCAATGATCCCGCATACACCTCAATAGATATCGCAAAAGAGGCGTTTATAAAAACTGTTGAAATATATTTTGGGACTATGGAAAGATTGATGACGTTTTCTTCATGAATTTTTTGCTAGCTATTGTATGGTTTTTGTACATATTGATGAGTAAAAAATCACCTTACAGTGTACGAGTGCGTTTTAGATACCGTGTATGAAGTATGATTTTCATTTTGTGCTGGAGTTTCTTCTCCTTTCGTTACGTTGATCGACGACATGGATTACGATGTGGGTACAAGGTCAACATATGTACATAATAGAGGGACATGTGTACTGATATGAACTAACTATGGCTATTCTAGTTTTCTTATCCCGCTTGTGCCCATTATGCCTGCATCTAATACGGTGTATTTCCAGTTACCAATTTTCGTGTTAAAGAAGCGATGAGATATGGATTTGTCAAATTACACATGATAACCCTCAACCACCGCTCCAATGGAACGAGAATATTAAATTAAGCATTTCCAGCTTTACAAACGCCCGCAATAGCCACGCTCAAGAATCAAGACATCCTAAAGTGGAGATGATGGAATATTAATGACGTAGAATACCCGAAAACAGATGCCCCAATCCAACGCACCATGCACCATGTACCATTACCATGCAATATACAAAGCCAGAAATGGTACAAAAAGCTATGATCTCATCATCATCATCATCATCGTAATCATAATCATAATCATCACCATTACCCCTCACCCATGCGTTCGACGAAGATATGTAACGAAAATCAACGCAGCGCCAATGCTAAAAGACCACACAAGATTTCGAACCAGCCCCCAACCGCCGTTCCTCCCTATATAAGCCCCCCGATCTAGATTTACTAGAAACTAACGCGCTTCGCCAAGTTCATTCGGCGCAGCACCCGACGTAGTTGGTGAAAACGCACCTGCAGCAGTAACGGCATCACCATGACTCCCGCCACGAATGTGAAAGCGGCGGCCGGTATGGATACCAGATAGGCCCAGAACCTTCTTCACAGCCCCCGTAACACCAGAACCACTCAGCCGCCTCGATTTCCCCGCATCTTCGGTGATAGGGGGCTTATTTCCTCCTGTTCGTTTTTTCACAATAGGTACATCTTGGGTGATGGTTGGCTTTGGTGGCCATTCGCCATCCGCCTTCCAGCCTTGGACTAGGGCCTTGGTAACATCTGACAGATTTATGGGTATAGCCGGTGTCAAAGATTGGATGACGACTTTGCTATATATAGAAGGGTATATAGAGGGCTTTATAGAAGCCCGGACGACGTTGGTGATTGGGAGGAGGGGTTCCACGACAGGGATTAGCGGCTCCCCAGAATGTGGGACACGAGGTTGATTGGAGTTGGGGTTGGGGTTGTCGTCAGCGTTGATGGTTGAGACGGCTTCTCTGATGTCCATGTCGACGATTAAATCACTAGGCGAAAGGATCTGAGCATCTGCCCCCTGCGGAGCACTAGCAAATGAGGCAGGAGGAGGTCGTAACGGGCCATCCCCTTGCCCAGTAGAATCCGGGGAAGCCATCTCCGCATCCTCGTTTTCTCCATAGTAACGGCTCCCAGAACCACTTGTCTCATTGCTTCCAGTAGTGCCTACAACAGTTCCATTCCTTTGGCTATCCGCTGCGGTCGTGGGCAACCTAGCCCCTGTCCACGCATTCCGTCTTTCCATCCATATCCTCAACCCTTCATTCCACGCCATTTCCTCCTCCACAACCCTCCGCCGTTTCCTCTTTCTCTCCAAAATGCTGTCTTCCACCGCATCCGGTGACTCAAACCTGTATGGGTCTCTAACCTCATAGGTAGCGGAGAGCGGGTGTACGAGTCCTGGATCTATTTCCTTAAAAGTTACTCCGACTCCTCCAGTTTCCGAACATGAGCTATCCTGTTCCCGTTCCCGCCATTCTCGCACCTCGCGAGCATGTAATTGTACAGCTCCATCCAAAGTGCCGCAGATCAGAGCTGATTGCGGTTGTGATTGCAAGTGCTGGCTCTCCGATTCGGGAGGAGAAGTAGCGGATTGGTGTTCGTAGGACCAGTCATCACGGATGGTTTCAAGGAGATACCGCTTTGCGGATTTTATGGCTTCTTCACGCGCTTCGGCAGCCTTGGATGCTAAGTCTGCGTCGGGCCGGGGTTTTCGATGTAATGACGCGAAAACGGATGAGGCGTGGTGTTGAGGCGGGGGCTTGTCTGGTTTTGTCAAGTCCATTTGCTCCCTCCCTCTCTTGTTTATATCCTTCCCTTCGTTTGTAATACGCCACGAACGTCAAAGTGTCACTTGTGAGCCCGTTCCTGAGACATGGAGTTCGTTAGAAACCTGTGAGTGGCTGGGATGGAAGAGAGGTCGGTTGGTCTGCTGGTTTGGGGATAACAGTCGTCGCTACCGCATTAGCATTGGGTCAGAATCGCCCTGGGGTGGTTGGGTTCTTGTCGTCAGTACAAACTTCTCTGAAAGTTTCAAGATTTCGTTTGCTTGTTCCCCGCCATAAAGTTATCTCAGTGCCTCGGACTTCGCAAGGATTCGCCATTTTAACCCAGCCAATCAGAGAATCACATTATCTGCCACTAATCCTGGAGAGTTCCTGTTTTGGTGCAGAATAACTAAACAACTATGTCAATTCAACAAAATGGGTGTAAGTAAGAGAGCTTGAGATATCATTTATCTCTTGATAGAATCAAATTTTATTTTCGTATCTTTATTCATTGGATACAATGTAGGTCCGGAATAGAATCACCACTGTTTTTCTTCCATACACTTTAGTAGTATATACAAGCTTATCATCAATGTAGCGTATATATATGATATAAAAATACATCTCAGAGATGGCCATATATCATAGTAGCTATGTCATATTAATCTGTGTATTTAAGTAACTATCAATAATATAGATTTGTACAAACTGCGACTGTTATGTCATCATTTCCTAATGTGGGTTAGTGTGTTTGCTCTCTTCAAGCTGCTTTTCGAGCAAGGCGTCTGACAAAGCCGATTGTTGGACACATCCATATATTAGCTGTCGCTAGCCACTGGGTAGATGATAACAAGCATCCACCGCAGAAGGCTCTAAAAGATATAACAACCTCTTCTTCTGGCTCGGGAAAATAAAAGAGAATATCAAGTTAGAAGTACATGTCTATCATTAATTTTGCAAGAGGAATCTATAAAAACCCAATGACAATATAACAAATTGTATAAAAAAGTTCAAAAAAATAAAATAAAATAAAATAAAATAAAATAAAGAAAGAAGAAGAAAAAAAGCCCGCGATCACACATCCATGGATGTATGTCGCATTAACAAAACCAAAACCAACTTGTTTAGTTCCTCACCCTCCCAGTCTCCGTGTTCTTCTGCGCTTCGCTAGGAGCGGCAAATCCCCACCCCGAACTTTTCTTGCGTCGCCCCTTGCGATCTCCGTATTTCTCGTCGAACTTCTTTATAGCGGAGAGAGACGACATATCCTCACTTATTGACGCACTGATCTCCTCCAAGGCGCGTTCAAAATGAGCCTTGGTGAGGGTTCGTCGTTCAGGATACCTGTACGGTTCTTCGCCTGTATGCTGAGCGGCGAGCTCATTTTCCCCTCTAACGCATGCTAGAGCTGCTGCAACGCACATGTTTTTCAGGTCTGAGCCCGAGTAGAGAGGCGTTCGGCTAGCTAGCTCCACTAGATCCACTGACGAGTCCACTTGCTCTTCCTTGAGATGGATCTTAAGGATTGCTAAACGGTCTTGCTCGGTGGGCAGGTCTACTAGGAGGCGTCGGGGGAGTCGTCGGAGAACGGCATCGTCAAGATCGAACGGACGATTTGTGGCTACCATGATGAAGGCGGAGAGCTCGTTCATGCCATCCCACTCTCGCAGGAATTGGTTTATTAATTCTCGATGAGTCGTGCGAGTGCTGGCTGCAACTCGCGAACCAAAGATGGCGTCTGCTTCGTCAATGAAAACGACGCAAGGGCTGAGCTTCTTGGCCAATGTGAAGATGGCTTTCACATTTTTCTCCCCTTCTCCGACATACATGTCATATACTTCAGAGCCACTCACTTCGAGCACAGTGGCGCCACTTTGTCGGGCGACAGCTTTGGCTAACATCGTTTTTCCTGTTCCCGGAGGGCCATAGAGTAGCAAGCCAGGGATTTTATCGGTAGAAAGGACACCATAAGTAAACGCATCGGGTCTAATCAGCGAGAGAGAAGTGAGGGTTTTAAGAGCCTCGATTGTATCAGGAGGAGCGTGTACGTCGTCGAATGTTGTGCGGATACTCTCAGCATCGACAACACCGTTGAGCAACTTTCTTTCATGAGTGTTACATGTTTTCCGTAATTGTCTCAAGCGACTTTCTCGTTCCGATTCTGTTTGCGGAGGTTTCACCTTAGGATACCTCTCCGCGAGCCAGTCTCCCTTTGCGCGATCACTTTTTTCCACAAGATCGACACTACGTTGTATGTGATGAAGGTCGAGCTTTCCGGGTCCCTTTACGCCACCAAGCGCAAGCGAAACAACACGGTGGACACGGTCAAAGGACCAATATCCATCATCAAGACCGGCGTTTTCGAGGGCACCAATGTCCACAGGCCAGGCTGGACCGCGGAGGAGGCTTGCGTCTGCTAGGTGCGGATCGTTTAATCTAACCCTCAGCATATTCTGCAGATGACGTACGTTGATCTCAAGAGTTCTTCGCTTAAGGTCTTCTGAAAACACTTTTTCGACCACTTGTGGGTTCATTGCAGGGGTAACCACAATTGTCCTGGCAAACTGGTCGTTGAAATCTCTCTGTACAAGCTTTGGATAAGACTTCCCCAGAGGATATTCCGGTTTCTTTCCGGATACAGTGCCGATGATTATAACCCTTTGTCCTTCCCGTCTCTTGGACTGGACCGCTCTATGAAGAAGTGTAAGGAATATGGATCCGCTGCGAGTGTCTTGAATATCATTGTAGTCTTGAACTTGAACGATAAGATCAGGTCGGAGTGTAGGAGGCTGGGACTGGTCGGGGATTGGCTTGGGGGCCGGTTCGAGAACCGACTCAGATGGCTTCTGGTCGCCCGATGTGTGAGGTTGTTTATGTTGATGTTTGTGGGGGATGGAGAGGAGTTCATTTGCAATACGCAGACATCTGAGCTCTTCTCTGGACTCCAAATCTTGGCGCTGAGAACGTGGAATAATCACCTTAGCCATACCTACTGATGCCCGACCGCCTAAAAGACTTTGGATCAAGTCCGTGTCACGAATGCCTGTCAAAGGAATTGTCCGGGTAACCGAGAACTCACGTTCTTGTCTTCGGCTGGGTATCATATCAGGATCCTCCTCTTCGTTTTCATCCTCCTCTCCCTCCTCCATATCTTCCTCAAGCTCCTTCAGGTTAGAAGTCCTCTTTGCTTGATAAACTTCATACCCCATAGTTGCAATAGAACTAGGGGTACCGTGCTCCGCTTGATCCTGGTCGGCGTAGAGTTCAGCAATATCTTGCGCATTTAAAGTTACTAGATGGGTCTTGAGATTTGCCGCTAGCTTTTTGACAACAGCGTCGAGAAACAAAATCCCTCCTTCTCCAGGATACTGCAGGACTAAATGCGACTTTGTCGCTGACCGCTCATCGATGTATCGAGACACTGGTAAATTAAGCCCTGCCCTAGCGGATGCGCACAGCTCGTCCCAAACCGCTTGCGCGAGGCGATAACGAGGACTAGAGGTAGGCGGCCCTCCGGAGCCTCCATTCTCACCACCGTTACCGCCTTGAGCAACCTTGTTCACACCTTCCTCTAGATCATGAGACAATGGCTCTAGTTCTACGTCGTGGCCTGTCGGTATGGCAATCTGAACCGCGGTATCTTGAGCTATAACGTTTCGCTCATGGAACCATTCCGGAACGACAGCAACGCTATGTGTCCGTTCTCGAGGTTTTCTATTCCTTATCGCGCGACGAACAGCGGAGCCGTAGGGGCTTCGAGGTTTTTTGGAAGGCGCTGGGGCCACTTCGGGCTTTTCTGTCTCAGCAGTGTCTTTTGGAGAGTCCTGGCCCTCAGAAACATTATGGGCGTTGTCAGTATTATTGCTCAGCGTAGGATTGATGGAAGGTGGTTCATTAGAGTTCGAGGCGGAGGGCGAGGAGGTGTGAAAACTGCGAGCAATATTGGGGAGACTTCGACAGCCAATGATCCGGTAAGACGTCCTTAGATATTGGTGGACTGACAACAGTCGGTAGGGAAGAGAGGAATGCATACAGGGCCGAATTTCGAGCCGCTGCCACCGTGCCTAGCGGTAGTGGAGAAACGAAGGAGCGTCTAAAAACATGCGAGCTCGTGTCAAAAGTAGCACGAGACGGACAATTGCTGACAATGCCTTGGGGGGTTCAGTGTTTCATCAAACCTCGATGTTTTCGACGTTTTACTGAAGATACATAGTTGCGATGACTAAGCAGCTACATCCCAGGAACGGAGTATTGTTAACCCGCCGAAATCTGGAACATTTCTCAGTCCAGCCGATGCACTATATATCCTTCATAATCTCATGCCTTTTCATGTCGCATCAAATCCATGGATGCTTTGGCGTAACTTTGCTCAACTGAGCCCTCATTGATGTGACAGACAAGATCGTTGTTGTCCTTCCGGTGAGAGGAAAGGATCAGTGTTTAGCGCCCAGCTAACCTTATTTGCGATCCCGCTAACCCTCATCTGCCGCCAGAGCAGTATAGAGCCCCCTGGTTCAGAATGCTTTCTTCTTTTCTTTGTCTTTTTCTTGAATCTTGCCGTTCTGGGAACAGCTTGTATGATTTTCCAGTTGCCATATCTAACCCCCAAAACATCGGGATGTGGCATTTGTCCTCCCCGTTGCTGGAATACGGCGAAAATCAACGGTGTTTCCCTTGGCGCCGTATATTCAGAATCACTGGCGATGTGCAGACTTAACATATAGCTCCGTCACCAACTAGCGCGATGGGAATACGAAAAACACGGGTTCGCCCTTTGCGGCTGTTTGGGAAAAGAAAATTGATAAAGTGGATATCACCCCTTTTGTTTTTGCTCAATTTCCAATTTATCACCAGACCATGAACGGATTTCCCATCAAGTTACCGCCTTCGATTCGATATGCCCTCCCAACTATGATACCTTAGGATTTTCCACTTCAAACATTCAACTTAATTAGGCTGGGCAACTCCGCTTTCGTCATTAGAAATCTCCGCGGGCCTTTATTTGGATTGGCGTCCTTGAAGAGGTCCTTTTCCGCCCACCGAAGTCGAGATACAGTGTTTTCTTGTGTTTTGGTCAACAGTCCTCACTGCAGTTGGCACCACGCTGCCTCCTTGCAGCTGTTTGTCTCTTCAGATGAAGTTTCTACTTCCTTTTTCCCTCAATATTCTCCTTCTCGTTGGTCTATCTCATGCATGGACCTTTCTTTGGCATGATGAAGACAATAAGGAACATTTACACTCAGGCGGGACGACGAAAGGATGCACCAAGATCAATATGTCGAAGGGCAAACAATACAAATGGGTTCCCGAGGAAACCCAGTTCTGCATTCATATGTTTGCCGATGATAAGTGCGGGGATGAAAATGGCTGGTCTTGCCTGGTCTGGGGCCCGAGGAACTTGGGTCAGTCGTGGGTGAGGTCGTATATCGTCAACACGATAGATGGCAATGGTAACAACAGAGCACCAGAAAAGCCATCACCACCACCACAGCAAAAGCCATCGCCTCCGCCGCAGGAGGATCCACAACCGCCACAACCGCCGCCACGTGCGACAACAACAAAGAAGAACGAGCCTCCACCCCCAACAAGGAAGAACGAACCCTCAAAAAAGCCCGAACCGACTGGCGATCGCACCTCTGTTGGGGCTGGGACTGAGGGGCCTGCTGCAGCAACGACGTCCTCCACCCGGGGTAGTTTGACCCCGCAAGAGACCGATGGGACAAATGAACCATCACCAACAGATCATGGGGCCCCAGAAGCAGCAGCGTCAGGGCCATCGTCATCCTCACCATCATCGTCACCGTCAGAGGGAGGCTCGTCGGAGGGAAGCTCATCAATTTCCGGTGGGGGAATTGCCGGAGTCGCGATTGGGGCATTCGCGGGCGTATGTCTCCTAGCTGCCCTTGGATTCCTAGCCTACCGTCGACGCAAAACGAAGACAAATGCTGTAGCGCAAGTCAACCATTATAATAATCTTTCCGCAGAGCCGCCATATGAGCCGGAGCTATTCGCACCGGCGCAAAAACCTGGATATCACCCCAGCGAGCTCGATTCTAAGCCAACATCTCTCGGCGGCTACCCGCCACCCTCTGTTTCTGCCGTCGCGGAAAAGGATGCAGGCGGTTACTCCAGCTGGGGCCATGTTGCGGAGTTGGCTGATAACTCTTCCCATCCTATGGTAGAGCTACCAGCCTCCCCGCTTAGCAGGCGGTATTAGTTAGAGTGAGTAAACATACAGACAGGGTTATGATGTGAAGGAAACAATTGGATCATTATTGGTATTGGATGCTTGCAGATTTGCCCTTCCCCTGCCTCCCCCATGTGTTTAAGACCCTCTACTTGCTTTCTATATTTTCTTTTATGTTTTTGGTCTGCCTCAGATTATATACTGTAGTTCTTAAATACATATAAAATATTTTCATATATTAAATGTACATGTACAATGTTATGGCCAGTTTTGTATGGCAAACCCTGCTAATTTAAAGTTGCAAGAGTATTCGCAATAATAGTTGTCTGGCTGTGTCTATCATACAACTGGCCTACACTTGGTGAAGAGCCTCATCCGTACATCTCTAACTTATGCTAGAATTACCACTAAAATGATATCTAGAAAATAACAATTGAAAACCATCCTGACTACAGCCTGGTGAGTTTACAAGTATAGATACAACAACCAGTTTGTGTTTGGCCATTAACAATTGAATTGCGGCAGACGAGGTCATGACTGTACGATGTGTAGTTTTTGGAACTTTTGAGGTAGAATTGAATAAAACTAGCGCCGGTAGTTATTTGAGATATAAACTCAGTATCAAATAGGGATCAGGGTATGAATAAGCTATCCATTGTTATCTACGAAAGTAATATAATCCCTTGAGAATTTCCAAGTGCACGTCCATCCAGCTCATATTCGTGCGGTCGACCATTTCAACATGGAGTTTGTGCCATTGGAATTGATATCCAGAGGATACCACCTGCAAAATACATCTAAAACTAACAGTGACTGTTAACCAAATTGTGCAGATAAATAATTGGATAAAGTAATCGCAATTGTAGATTGGAACAGAAAGATCAGACATCCAAGGTAAGGCAAATTTATTGTCCGCTCAACGACACGTCGACTTAATAGGTTCATGCGACGGCTAGCGTGGAAACTGCGAATGTGGGAAAAAAATTTCATCATACGGGTTTGGGAGGGGATCAAGTAAAAATACGAAAATTTTCCAACTTACGTTAGTCTTCGTCAAGTATTGTGTTGCGAGAACATAGTTCTATGGTTTAATTGGAAAAATCAGAGGATTTACATGCAAACCTACAAAGTCCTCTTCATCAGCTAAGTCCAACAGACATTGTTTGAATATCATTGTGCCGATAATAGACGTAATCAGACTAAAAGTACTGGCAAGTAGCAGACCAACCGAAGAGGGGTGGTCCGAATGATTCTTCAAGGTCGACTCAGGAAACGAAAGAAGTATTGAGAGGGTTGTCATCCTAAAACGACGCCCATGGAAAGGGAGTGCTGTGCATGAAGTGAGAGTTACTGACCATTCAATTACCTGCTATAAACCTTCAGAAGTTGATGCGCTAAAAACATTACTCGTATCGGCAGATAATTTGGTGACATTGTCATAATATCGTGACAAGATGTTGCTGTTTAGGGTCAGAAAGTCAACATGGCTGGGCTGGCGTGTTGAAGAAGAGAAAGAAAAAAAAATCACGAAGTCGAGGATTCGACAACGTTAAATATCGGAGCGGAAAATCCTCTGATCCGCTAAATTAAGCGACAACTCGCTGACTCAGAACAACGAGCCGCAGGCCGGATTCACGTGATAAAGCTAAACTCAATCTATACTAGCGGTGAGTGTCACGACGCCCCGTCCATTTCCTCTTGGGAACTTGAAAGTCTCAACATGCGCCCATCCCGACGCCTGGCACATCGGTCTCCCAGCTCTTCTCAAACGCTTTCTGTGGACACGGCGAGCTTGGATTCTGTGCGCCTCTGGATGGTCACCTTGCTCTGGTGACCGGACTGTTTAAGGTAGGCCTGGTCTCGCTTGCCCAGCCCCCACCCTCCCACCTTGTCGTCCTAACAATTCCATTCTGCTCCTTATACCCAGTCATCACGATCCAACTGACTGATATCACAGATACGATTATTGTGCTGAAGGCGGAGACTGCGAGATTATCTCTTCTCATGATCGAAATTGCGCGACTTCTCGACGATCGATCGTCAAACTGTGACGTGCCAGCCGCGTCCTAGACTCGGAAACCTTACATAACATACACCAACGGCAGGTCGATTAGTGGTAGTTGATATATTGAATAACACTTCATATCAAGTCTTGATCCCCTAGGATTGTAGATTGATATTATTTGGGGTCCCGAAATCGGCGACTTCTTTCGCCGGCGATGATGATGGCGCAGCCTTTTCCTGCCCATCAAGTCGGCCTGGCTCACCACCCGGTGATGCCTCCCGGCCATCCCATGGCACCAGGCCAACATCCAAACGCGGCGCATCTCGCCGGACAAGGTCCAGGAGCTGGTATAGTGCAGCAGATGCACCCTGGCGTTTCTGCTCCGGGAGGCCAACAAGTGACACAGGGGGGTCCAGTGATGGGCGGAATGCCGCCAGGCACTACCGGTCCTGGTGGACCCGGCCCTAGCGCTCATGCGTTATCTCATCTCGGTCCTACCCATGGACACCAAATGTTTCCACCTCAGCAAATGGGACAAGCCTGTAAGCCTCTTTCGCTCACAATTGCTGTCAATTCGGCTCTTCAATCGCCTGTTCACCGCTGCATCCCTCCCCCTTACCATGTTGATATTGGTAACATTTCCAAAGAATTTTTGCAATTAATATTTGCACTGGATGACTTCCCATATTTCTCTTGTGATTAGCGTTATATTTGATTTTCCATTTCATGACTCATAGCTGATTCATATATACACTTTTAGACCCTACCAACCCTCAGCTAATTCAACAACATCAACAAATGCTGAGACAACGCCAAATGATGATGCAACAGCACCACCAACAGCAGCAGCAGCAGCAGCAGCAGCAGCAGCAGCAGCAGCAGCAACAACAGCAGCAGCAGCAACAACAACAGCAGCAGCAGCAGCAGCAACAGCAGCAACAACAACATCAACAGCAGCAGCAGCAGCAGCACAACCCGCAGCAGCAGCAACAACCACAGCAGCATAACCAACAGCAACAACAGCCGCCACAACAGCCACAGCATGGAGGAATCCCTGCGTCCTTACCCAATGGAACCCAAGGATTGAATGCGGCACAGCTTGCTGTTCAGGCTAATCCCAATATGCGACCCGTTAACTTTCCTATTCATCCTCTTCAGCAACATCTGCAAACCCAAGGACATCACGGCCAACCACATAATGTGCAACAGCAGCAGCAATTCCTTGCCCTGCAATTAGCGGCGCAACAAAATCAACAGAACCAGCAAAATGCCCAACAACGAGGCGGACCGCAACCTTCTATGCACGACGGGCAGAGTGGTACTCCCCATCCGCAACCAGGGCCCCCCAGCCAAGGGAATACCCCATCACAACCGCCCCAACAATCAAATCAGCAGCAACCGCCATCATCCCAAGCGCCTCCGCAGCAGGGGCAACCACCCCAGCCACAATCTCAGCCCCAGTCACAAGGACCAAACTCTCAAAGCCAGCCCCCACAGCAACCTCCGCAATCACATCAAATGACTTCCCACGAAGCGCAACTCAGAGCCCAACAACAGAATGCCGGATCGGCAATGATGATGCCCCAAAGGATTGCCAACCCTGTAAAGAGGTCCAGCATTCTTCGATTATTGACATTCGCTGAACACCTGAGTGCATATTCCGTGAGTGAGCCCTTTAGCTCGACTTTTTAACCCCGTTTAGATGGCTGACTTTCAACTTTAATTCTTAGAGTCAAAAACCCCAGCCTGGAATAGAGTATTGGATTCGATTTGTAGATCAATTCTTTTCGCCCAGCGGAGCCCTACGCAAGGGCGTTTGGTGTCCGGAGCAAGGGGCCAAACAGTTCGAAATCTCTACTCCTGCTCTTGCCCGATACTACCACACCCAGTTTAACAGTGGTATAAGGCATATACAAATGATTGTTGAAAATGTGCAAGAAAAAGATCTCCCTAACGGCAGCCAAATTGTTGAGAGTTCTAAGACATGTTTCATTTATTACATGTCTAACGATTGTCAAGTAAGACGACGGCCTCTTGTCGCTATATGTTAGATTTTTACTAACTCGTCCGCCAGCTTGTTGCCAACGGCACCTTGCGAGCTCAATACGATATACATGGTAAAATTGACCTACTGGAACTTATCACTAAGAACCACACAGAATACATCCCGCGTACTCGACTTCAACCAGTCTCACCAGACCAGAAGCAGAGTCCCAAGGTTAGCAAAGGGCTGGCCAAGAGAGCACAGCAAAAGCAGGCAGCTTTACGCTCAGTTATCGCACCTGACTCTATAGTTACGGAACACGGCGTCCCACCCGCTGTCATGAAATTTTTAGAGGTATGATAATATCCAATTGCCCAACCATTCAGGAGATCGCAGGATTCTGACAACTAGTCAATACATTGCCAGGTCGCGGAGACAATCTCTCAAATGCAGACACTGTTCCAGTATTCCATTCAGCACCCACATCTATCTCCAAACGATGCTCTCCGACAATTAGTTGCTTCATTCAACGCTCCTCAGGCTCTTGGATTTGGTCCAGGCCACCCCGGAAGTCAGCAGCCACCTGGACAACGTACACCGAACCTTAACGGGCCCACCCAGTTTTCCTCACCTGCAGTAGCTCATCTAGGATTACCAGGAACACAAGGCTCTCCTCATCTCGGAGCAGCGAACCACACACCTAGCCCTGCGCAAAACAGCATGGCAGGGCCTGTTGCAATGGTTGCGCAACAAAGCCAGCAGGGAACCAATACAAGTGGCAGCCAAGGAACTAGCGCTAATACCAGCCCCAATGTGAGTAATAAGCGCCGCCGAAGCGCTATCAAAACCGAAGATGATAATGCGGGAATGGCAGAGGTAAACGGCGCAGGGCCTGGTGCATCCAAGGCACCGAAAGCTAGCCCAAGGGTTGGTGGCAAAAGGCAAAAGGGCTCAAACTGAAGTTAAGGATGGGGTATTTAATTGTATGGAAAGAAGAGTGCGGCCCTCTTACAATATTCCTTCATCATTTCAGCTTGGCTTTAAATTTTTCGTTTCTGACACACCTCCTGAGGCGGACTTGGCGTTGGTCTAGCTGCCTTTTGAAATATGATTTCCCTAGGCGTCTGCTTTTTGTCTCTTTATTCTTATTTTTCTGTTTTCTTTTTAAATTTCATTTTGGATAACCATTGGTAGGGGTTGCTGTTTTTCGTTGTTTATTCTATGGCGTCGCGCCTTTGCTGTTTATAAACTTGGAATTGCACTACGGATCCCTTGTCTGGTTGTGTTTTGCCGGTTTGCGCGTTTTTCTCCCCTCTCGTCTTTTTGTATTCGAAACATTTTTGTGGCAAGAATCTCTCTGTGCTGTTGTTAGCTATTGAGATTTTTAGCAACTTGCGGCTGTCCCATTGTCTTTACATTTTTGCGCTCTCTTTCTTTTCCCAAAGGTGTTTTGCGGGGGTAGATCGGATGGCTTACATTATCTGAGCCACCCTGTTTTGTTATCGTTTGTGCGATTTTATTTTTCTCTTTTTGTTTCTGCAAATGGGGCGGGCGTGCTTTGCTTGGACTTCCAATGGATGGATGGGTGGAACAGCTGCCAACCTGCATCTTGTTGGACGCGACACTGATGGTGTTTTTTTTAATTATTCCTCCCACCACACTTAATATTTGATGATTTATTTTCTTCTCCAGGTTCCTTTTCCACTGTCACTTTTGCTTCTTTGCATAGCTCCGGCTTTATTTCATGGGCTGCGAGGCTTTGACTCCAATCCTTGATTCCTTCCCTCCCTAGCATTGGCTTGTCATAGGGGTTATTTCAATCAGGGGTTATAATCTCTACTGATGCAGTCTAGCTTTTGGTCGCACCTAAGTTTCGCACGCCTTGCTCCCTCACAAAAACCACTCCGTCCTCCTTTCTATTGGCAAACTCCACATTAAATTTGCCTGGCTAAATCGCAAAATTATAACGTTGTCCTTTCCATGGTACATTATTTGGATTCCAATGTGGTCTTGATGCTACCTGTTGCAGATATATTCCTTTTTTCCTTTAAAACTTTCTGATATTAACCCAACTATGTGTGCTTCGATGTCTTGGTATGTTGAGTAACCTGTCGCTTAGTCCTCTGCGGAACTGTCTGAACTATTTTCGAAGTACCCTTTTTTAGGTCTTTTTCATAATACGGGATTTTCAATGAAAGTGACCCATATGCAACACGTTTTCGAAGCGGAGATAGATCCATCTAGCACTACTAAAAATCTTTTGTCACCGCAAGTTCATTTTTCTTGAACTCCATCTTATTTTATAAGACTATTTGTATATCGATGCCCCGTATATCTGAAAATTTTGAATACAAAAGGTTTCCAAAATGGTGTTTCTTTGATTCTACAAAATATGTTTCTAGTTTTGTTGCCTGGTAACTATGATATCACAAGGTTGAACCCCGCCAAATATGCTTCAAAGTTTGCCATCCGAATTGCTCCCCCACTTTATACCGAAACAGCCTTGGAATAAATTCCTCCATTTTTCGGTATAAAACCCCAATGTATTATATCTAGCCGTACTGTGCGAACCAGTACCTTTCTTTATTCTCCATATCCCACAGCTTCTCGAACTAAATGGCTACCCACGACCACTCACGGCCGCATTCCCATACCCATGATGGTAATGCACATGGTCATACACATGAGATCCTCGATGGTCCTGGTTCTTATCTGAATCGGGAGATGCCTGTGATTGAAGGACGCGATTGGAACGATCGAGCGTTTACTATTGGCATTGGAGGGTAGGACAATATCTCCCTAGCTCTTAGTTCGTATAGCTCTGGCTGTTACGTCAGTGGTTGATCGCGCTTGAAAAGAAAATGAAACCGAGACAGCTATTCTATACACCAGCTAATATGTTGTTAATATGCACAGACCAGTAGGCTCGGGGAAGACGGCATTGATGCTGGCACTCTGTCTAGCAATGCGTGACGAATATAACCTCGCTGTCGTGACGAATGATATATTTACTAGGTCAGTAAAAATCCCCCCCTTGTTTGCCGGTGATAGCCAAAAACACGCCCGGACATCCCTAACTATCTCAAAGGGAGGATGCCGAATTCCTCACCCGTAATAAGGCGCTCTCTCCGTCCCGCATCCGCGCCATCGAGACCGGCGGTTGCCCACACGCCGCCGTTCGTGAAGATATCAGTGCAAATTTACTGGCCTTGCAATCGCTCCAGCGACAATTCCAAAGCGACCTCCTCCTGATAGAATCCGGGGGCGACAACCTAGCAGCCAACTACTCGCGTGAACTAGCCGATTTCATCATCTACGTCATCGACGTAGCTGGTGGGGACAAGATTCCCAGAAAGGGAGGCCCTGGTATAACTGGCAGTGATTTGTTGGTCGTGAATAAGATTGATCTGGCAGACGCAGTCGGGGCGGATTTATCTGTTATGGAGAGAGATGCAGCGAAGATGAGAGAAAACGGGCCTACGGTTTTCGCAGAGGTGAAGAGTGGACGAGGGGTTGAGCATATCGTTGAGCTGATTTTGAGCGCATGGAAGGCTAGCGGGGCATATGATGTAAGTTTGCAAAGGTGGAAAGGCGGGGCAGTTAGGGGATCTGGGACAGTTTGAAAGACGAAGGGCAGTTTAATTTCGTTTCCTTTTTTTCCATATCCATGAAATTGCTCAAGAGAGAGTCGTGCATCCTGGAGCACTGTTATCCGAACGTCGTAGGAGTGAGATATGAATGCATCTCAGAAAAACGATAATACAGAGCGAGTTCCATCCCGAATCCAGTACTCCAATGCTCCAGTGTGATGCAATGCTGGAATTTAGGAAATATACAGATACTAACGCCGCGGGTATTATCAAAAAAAAAAAAAAAAAAAAAAAAAAAAAAAAAAAAAAAGCTGAATGAAAAATGTATGGGAATGGGATAGTGATGGCGGTATCGCCGATGCATAATGCCAATATCCTCGCCTCTGGCTTGCGGGAGATAAATGACAATACTTCTTAAGGCCTAGGAGGTTCGTACCGTCGCAAACCGTCCAAGGGCGGGACCCAAACCAGCCTTCTGGCGCTGAAGATTCTCTTTTGCCCTAGAGGAACGTTCATTCCGTAGCTCTTCAGCCTTGAGTCTCTTCTCATCAATAACATTCTTTGCCCCCTTTTTACGCAGATACTTGCGCAACGCGCTATTCCTCCCACGGCCCCGATTCTTTAATTTTTCAATAATGTCATCAGGTTTTCGATCGAGATCCCGCTCTTTTCTGCGCGTGGCATCGCTTACGAGATCAAGATTGCCCACAAAGTCAGGGTTGAGTGAAATCATCTCCGGCTGCAACTTCGTAAGCAGTCCTCGGACTTCTGCTTCCTGTCGCTGCTTCGAGGTTTCGAATGGGTTGGCTTCGGAGGCGTCAAAGTTAGGTTCTCCACTGCCCGGCACGATCAGGCTGGCGAATCCTTTGTCATGCGCCACGCCAAGAATATCATCATACGGACACCAGCGGACGCGCTCGATGCGCTTTCCGTCACCTCCCCAGGACATGTATGGACTTTGTACCTTCTCTTGATCTGCAGCTGCTGCAGTGAACAATCCCTTCCAGACGCTGAGCTGTGTACCCCAGCCGACGGCGGCGAGACCACGGTCACTGATGGCGACACTAGAGCCAGGTTGGGGAACGGAGTAGTTATGTACCTCCTTTAGCATACGGATATCCCATACCGCCATGCGTAAATCCTGGCCCGTTGATACCATGTATCTGCCTTGTCGGTCGACTGCAACTGATCGGACGGGTCCGCGGTGGGTGAGTGCTTTAACGAGGGCCGTTGAGGAATTGGGAGACCAGAAGGAGACGGTGCCATTTTGGTGGCCAACATGTAGGATGGCATTATAAGGGTTTTGGCAGAGAGAAGTCGGAGAGCCCTGGCGAGTAGCTAGCTCTGCTACTAGTTGACCAGTTGATGTGTCAGTATATTTCAAATATCCACTGGTAGCCTGGAAGACGAAATTGTGTTAGCAGATTCACTGGTACCAAATGGGTGATCTTTATGCTTACAACACTGGCAAGGAGGAAATGGTAAGGTAGGAATTCCAGATGTGTGGCCTCGACATGCTTGTTCAAACAATGTATCTCAACCCCTGCATGATCATAAATGTAGACGTATTTCTTCTGCGCAACAGCGAAAAACTGATCATTATGCAGCCATTTGGCATCTCTCACAGTCTCTCCAAGTTGCAGCTCGCATCCCAGTTTACCGTCTCGCCAGTCCATGGTTGCGATATGACCTTTCCTACCACCCAGTAAAAGTTTTCGTCCATTTCTCGTATAGTCAGCCGAGTAAGGACCCAAATCCTCCAGCTTGAGTTCGAATCCCTTCTTTGCTGTTTCTATGCCCACACTGTCCTTGATCTCATCTTGTCGAACTTTATAAGTTTTCTCCAGTTCCCCTTCAGGTTCCAAGTAACCATGCTCGTTCTCCAGCAGGATCTCGGCATCCTTCGCTTTTAGCGCTGCATCTTTATATTTTGCTTCTAGGTTCTTTAAATTGCTTCGCAATTTCCTATCCTTCACGCTCTTCGCATTGATCCGTTTTCCCCGTCCGTATTTTTTCTGCGCTTCTGCTAATCGCTTCCTCTCCTCCCAGGACTCGAGATCTTTGTCTTTGGACGATTTCCGGACAACGGCCAGAGTTTTTGGCGCAGCTTGAACCTCCATAGTCGCACAGAGGTCTTAGGTTTACTGCTAAAATAATCCAGCAGCAAACTCCTAAGGAGTATCGTGGAGCAGTCACACAATAAACATATTGGATGTCTGGTGCGACGGAAAATTAGAATTCTTCTTGCAAACACAGCAAACAATGTGTCATGTGACCCGGTTAACATTGGAATTTTATCAAAGACACAAAAGAAATTAATATGGGAATTATCAATTAATATATATATCCAGCTGGGCGAGGTCTTCCAGGGTTGCTTGTTCTTCTACTTGGCCCCGCCGGCCGTTGATTTATATTGCTGTCAATCTGGCCTCACTCCCTTTTAGATTCAAGGGTTCGGGCTCGCACACCATGGCTCCCAGCGCCGTGGCTGTCCCGCACCACCACCGCAATACGACCAAATCAATAAACAAGGCTTTTAAGTCCAAGCATATGTCAAAGGGCGCTCTTAGGGACTTATCTAAAGGTGCGTGATCTTGTATACATATTTGTAAAGGGGGACGGGGGTGGGGCCGGCAAATATACAATATCAGGAGATATTTTTGGAATTCTTCTATATATGTGCGCGTGTATCGGATATCATAGTGTGTCTCATGAGATGAGAAAAATAGAGTGAGGCGTTGCGCAAAATACTCTCCCCCCACGCAATATGTGTGTGTGGAACACTCGCGCGCGCGGATACAAGACCCCCCCCAAAAAAAGATTGAAGCACAAAAACCAATCCGAATCCGTGAGCATATTCTCCGGCCAGAATGGAGCGTCGAAACATGTTGCCGTTATCCCTCTTGCAGATACCGTAAACCCAGATGCAGCCATCAGGAGTTTAAACGAGAGTCTCGATATCCCGGAAACAGATATTCAAGGGCGCATGTACCGCGTTCGCATAGAGAGATTTAAGCAAAATGTCTTGTACATTCCTACAATGAAGGATTTGATAAGCGCACTGGACACATGTCGCTTGGCAGATTTTGTCATTTTTATTCTGCCCGCAGACAATAAACTAGACGAAGGGGCTAAATTAATGCTGCGTGCGATTGAAGGTCAAGGGATATCCAATGTGCTTGCAGTAGTACAAGTATGCGGAAAACACCCTTACGAGCCAAGTTTTTTTTTTTTTTTTTTTTTTTTTTTTTTTACCACAACAGTGACTGACATTCGCCATTTCTTAGGGGCTTGAGAAAATCACGCCTCCCAAAAAGCGCCAGCAATTTACTGCTTCACTCAAGTCTTTCATCGCCCATTTCTTTCCCACACTAGACAAGGTGCATTCTTTGGATTCAAGGCAGGAATGTTCCAACATAGTTCGGGGGATATGTACAGCAACACCTAAGGGTATTCGTTGGCGGGATGACAGAAGTTGGATGCTAATTGAGTCTGTACTATGGCCCGAATCATCGTCTGAGTCGTCTGGTGAGGTTATAGTAACCGGCGTTGTACGGGGTAGAGGCTTAAAAGCTGACCGCTTGGTCCATATACCCACCTGGGGCGATTATAAGATCACATCCATCACCGCTGCGCCATCGCTGTCACTTAAGCAAAGGGAAGCGGATGGTGGTATGAGCATCGACAACACAGTGAAACAGCAAGTTCTGGATCAGCCAAGTGTTGATTGCGACGACATGGCTACCGTCGCACCTGAGGAGGTCGTTATGATGGATGATACTATTTCTATGGCTGAAAATGAAAAGAAAGGGGTACTGCTTGATGATCACCATTACTTCTCGGATGGCGATGACAAGCATTCATCGCGTCCGAGACGTCTGCCGAAGGGCACGTCTGATTACCAGGCGGCATGGTACCTTGATGACGTCTCTGACTCCGGTTCTGACCTGGTCGATGAAATGGATGATATCGATGAGGGTATGGATTTGGATACTCCAGCTGGTCCAGAAGATGGCTTTTTCAACCCGGACAATAGAGACACCATGACTGAAGCTGGCCCTTCCGAATATCCACAGTCTGAGATGTTTCTCGACCCATCACCTGAGGACGAAGCGCAACAAATAGAAGAATATCGCGCAAGCCGGAAGAATGAGGCAAAAGATGATTTGGAATTCCCCGATGAGATTGAACTTCATCCATCTACCGTTGCAAGAGAAAGACTAGCAAGATATAGAGGACTCAAAAGCCTTAAAATGAGTAGATGGGAAGTGGAGGAAGACAGGGCGCATGAGCCTGAAGACTGGAATCGTCTTCTACAGGTCGTAGACTACAAGGGTTCCAAAAACCAATGTCTTCGGGAAGCACTCGTCGGTGGTGTCAAGGCCGGTACCCGTGTTAATGTTCATCTCAGCGACGTGCCTCTCCACTTAAAGTCACTCCCTTCACAACCAACCTCTCTTTTCTCGCTCCTCCGACACGAACACAAACTGGCAGTCGTCAACATCAACATGAGCCTTAGCTCCACTGTCGAAGAACCTCTCAAATCTAAGGAAGAACTAATCATACAATGCGGACCCCGCCGCCTGGTCATTAAGCCAATCTTCTCTGCCGCCGGAAACACTCCCAATAACGTCCACAAGTTCGACCGATATTTGCATCCAGGCCGCAGCGCCGTAGCAACATTCATCGGCCCCGTCTCCTGGGGTTCGATACCCGTCTTAGTATTTAAGAAGACAGCGACCGCGGCCACGGATGCTGAAGCCATGGATCCAAGCACGGATAATAGTGGCAACACCCTCCCTGTCACATCATCCTCCAATGAGCTCGAGAACTGGGAACTCATCGGCTCCGGCACGACTATTGCACCTGACCATTCGCGGGTCGTTGCCAAGCGCGTCATCCTGACCGGCCACCCGTACAAGATCCACAAGAAGGTCGTCACGGTGCGGTACATGTTCTTCAACGCGGAGGACGTGAATTGGTTCAAAGCTCTACAGCTGTGGACGAAGCGGGGCCGCAGCGGGTATATCAAGGAGAGTTTGGGGACCCATGGGTATTTTAAGGCGACGTTTGATGCGAAGATTAATCCGCAGGATGCTATTGGGATTAGCTTGTATAAACGTGTTTTCCCTCGAAAGGCTGTTGCGTGGGGGGAGGAGGTGCATTGAGCTTTTAGGTGTTTCGGTGTAGAGATGCTCTTTTTTGAGATGATTTTGTTGGCGTTTTGCCCCTTTTTTTGCCCCTTTTTGCATGGCGATATAAAAATTCCACGATATTGCGGGGTACGGGGCTTGGAAGGTATAGTCCTAGGGGAAACTGAACCGATATATCCACGACTTAAGAAGGCTATTTTTCATATTACGATTGATTAATGATTTTCGTTTATACATTCTTCCATTTATCCTACTCCAACCACTTTCAATAAACATATGTATACACAGGTCACTTGGAAACTAAACAATTTACCACTTCCTTGCTAGAAATATCTGCTTAATGAGAACAACAGACATGCTAAAACGATAAGAACCAAAAACGACCTAAAACATCAGGCACCAATCCAGCTACCAGAGGTGAACGCGAGGTGCGGCAAGTAACCCATTTAAGCATAATAAAAATTCGTTCTTAGCGGCCAGCAGACAATTTACCCACAATCATTAGTCTGATCCGTAATCTCTAGTCTTCCAAGTCAGGCACGGCACAGGGTTTGCTGAGTCTGTTCTTCCACCTCCCTTTCCAGCCGCTGCACTTCAGCAGAAGATGGTTCAGGCATACTAATATTTTCCTGGAGTTGCTGTGGTCCCAAGTTCATCTGAGACTGTTCTTGTCTTTCTTCAACCTCTCTTTCGACCGGCTCTTCCCCAACAAGCAAAGGTTCCCGCATACGACTATTATCCATCTGTTGGTGTTGCTCCAATTTCATCTTAATTCGCACCTGCTCTTTTTCCCACTCAAGCCTCTTATTGTCTCCTTCATCCATAGCCCTCAAAATGTCAGTTTGCTGTTGCAATTGCTCCTTGTCCAGATGATCGTATCCGATCCTTTTGAGAATGTATCCAACCATATACTGGTATTTCAAATGGCCACTAACAACATCACTCACATCGAAGTTCTCTATTCCAGGGACGCCTGAGATGGACTGGAGACCGGCTATTCCGAATTGGGCACTATTAGCACGGTACAGAAATCCGAGGATCGAGTCGTTAAATGAGAAAACATTGACAAATCGGCCGCTAACAACGGTCCGCATTAGCCGCCAATGACTGGTTGTTGACGGAGTAGGAGACCCAATAAGAATAGCGGATTCGACCAAACCATACGCGCGTCTTTTCGCAAGACTTGTGAGGCAAGAAAAAATCACACGAGCACCCATCGAGTACCCAACCAACGTCACTGGACGTTCACCCTGGGCTTTGTTAATTAACGCATCCGCAAGGACCTGACCAGCCTTATCAGCGCGGATTTTCGCGATACTAAACGGATTATCGATTATGTGAGAAAGATTTAACAGGGCCACGGGCCACATCACTGCACCAAGGATAGGCGAGAAAACGGTACCGGATATAGCTTGTTTGGATGCAAAAGCCCAAGCTGTATGTCTCACAATCGTCGTCAGAGCATTGCCAAGTTTCGCTAGCGCTTTAAACTCCCACCGTAGGGCAAACGATTCAGAATCACGTCCGAGAACCCGCCAGGGATTTACGAAATCCTCTTGCTCAGTAAGCCAGCCGCTAATAGCAACTGTAACCCTAAGACGTTGATCCGTTGTCATAGAAGTTATGCTCTCTCCCTCTGAATGTAATGGTGTATGGATGGGAAGGAATGCAAAATCTTCAACCTCCTTTGCGTACCGCTCCATCATCTTTCCAGTCATTCTGGCGCCATATGCCCCAAATATCCCTCCAATAACAGTGGCGCTACTGGCAACTGCACCCAGGTATCCCGCTGCAACGGTTGCTCCCAGGCCGAGTCCACCCATCACTGCACCAATGCCGGCAGCAACAAAGGGGGCAGCTAATCCTCCGGTTACTCCAATGAGAACACCTCCAGCGATGGACGCAAGGCCAATTTTCCATTTCCTTGAATTTTTTGTCTTTTCAACCTTTGCTTTGGCTTCTTCATCTGCCGTCAGCACCTTTGCAGTTTGTAACAGGCCTTCTGCAACCTGGACCTCATCGTTAACCAACTCATCCGCGGACAGTCCAAGACTGGCGGCAATCCTGAGCAGCAGAACTCGCGAATGTGCACTGTAGTGTTGAAGACTTAGAAGCAAAAGGAGAGCCGAATGTAGAATAATCAATTTCGTGGCATGTGGAAGTTCATTCAAGGGAGTCTCTACTGGAGGATACCTGCTTGGAGAGCCTTTAGGTGTCCTGGATAATCTTGTAGAATCAGATGGTGCGGTGTTTTCCGCGCTCTCGTCGATTTGACCCTCACGCTGCTGCTGCTTGTGGAGTTCTGGACAATCAGGCGCGTTTATGATCTCCCCAATCCGATAAATGACTGAATCTTTCCAAGTACCAAAATACCGAAGAGCTTCCGCCTCCGCTTTTACTTCCACTGTGGATGACTTTCGGGACGCAAGACCAGGCTTCTCTTGCTTGAGAGTAGTTGGGTCGAGGTTGTCTGGGGACGGCTCATTATCATTTGGCTGCGGTCTCGAATGCTCCGTGTTGAAATGATCACAAATTGTCTGCTCCATTTGATCCATAATATCCACAATGAGAAGGGCCAGATCCTGTCGTTCGTTTAGGCATAGGACTGAAGTTAGGTGAGCCTCATTTTGTGTTTGTCGGTCCTGTCTTCCCATTTCATGATCACCGCTTCGACTACTCCTTGGGTTCATTATCGAATCCATGAGACCTGAGTAGCGCTACACCAGCTGTTGGCATTTAACGTAGTTAAAATTAACTTTTATTGCGTGGAATTCTCATCCAATTGGTCCAAATGCCAGTGAAAAATCGTACAAACGGCGGAGTAGTGGAATTGTTGGTAGGTTTGTAGGATAAACAAATGAACGGAAGATGGTCCGAAGAGAAGGAAGGAAGGAAGGTGTCTACCAGCCCGATGAGTCAGCACATCGTTCCACAGTAGGGAGATTGTACGGTGATCGAAGAGAATAGGTTCAGTGACACTAGGCGGTTGAAGCGTGAGACATACTGAGTATTGGATGGGTATGGAATGGAACCGGGTTATATCCTCTAGATTGTGCTTTTACCAAGCTTCCTAACTTAGCTTGACTGGACCACGAAGTACCTCCCCATTGTTTTTGATGCTGGTTTCAAGGCATCACCATCCCAAACCTCGTCGTCCGGATTGGTAGGCCTCTCAGATCTCGTGCGCTGAATTCTTCTACTTCGGCCAATATAGCGCTCTTGTTTTAGAGATGCCTCGAGGGTCTTTAAGCTGATTTTATTTTCCTCCTGTGCCTCCGCCGACTCGTCACTAATACTGCGCAGAGGCGTAACACCCGTAGTGTCAATGCCCTGGACCTTCTTCACAAAATGAATTTGCGACTCAAGGGTTTTAAGCATTTCCACCTCCTCTTCGGCGCTTGAGGGGGGTGGGAGTGCGGAAAGCCGGAGGAGGTGGTGGAGCTGCTTCGAGGATATAGTACGTGATTGGGGAGAAGATGTGTTCTCTGGTAAGAGGGACTTGACAGACCAACTGGGCTCTGAAAGAATAGACGCTGGATCGTCGGTTTGAGCAGTTGCTGGTGGCGGAGTCGGTCGAATACTTCTTGCTCCGATGTGATGGGTCGTTCTGCGGATCGTTTGCAGGAGTGGTCGCGTCGACCACGCGCGGTAGAGTGCCATTTGAACCAATGTAGAATAGTTAGAATAGGCCGAGTCTGTTAGTGCCTGCTCTTTAGGGTTTAATTTCTACTTAACTGGGGCCAATTTTTGATATTCGAGGAGGGATGCGATGTTTTGCAAGAAAAAGAGTGTCGCTTATAGTTAGATCAGCGATTTCTGCCCTAACTGAATAACCTCGATAGACCCCGCCAAGCCATGACAACATCGGCGTATCCAGCGAAGGCCTCAACATCAACCGGTATACACACACACACACCAGATCTACATCCAGCTGTAATTTCTACGGTTTTCCTATTTCCATAAAACAGCCAAACAGTTTCAACCATGGCACAGGATCCCCGAGTCCTACTACAGAAGGTGTGCAATTATATTCCCCGCCATCCATCCGATCGAGGCCTAACAGTTTGAAAACATAACAGGCAGATAAAGCACTTCAAAGTGCTTCAGGTGGATTCAGCCTTTTCGGTGGGCGAACGGAAAAATACGAAAATGCTGCAGACCTCTATTCACAAGCCGCCAATGCTTTCCGGGCACAGAAGATGAGTTGGTTGTCCCCGCTCCGCTCTTGCATATTTGCTCAGCTCAACTGTTTCCTGGGAACCACCGGAAAAAGGAATCCACGGCTAATATCGGGGAAAATGTAGACAAGGAAGCGGGCATGGCGTTTGAGAAAGCTGCCACTGTTTTCACCACCAACCTGAACGAGCCAGACGATGCGGCCAACCTCTTGACTGAAGCGTTTAAAGTATACCGAAAGACAGACCCCGAAGATGCAGCCCGAGTGCTGCAGATTGCCATCCGGCATTATATTTCTAAGGGAAACTTCAGACGGGCTGCGACCCACCAACAAAACTTAGCTGAAATATACGAGGTAGAAATTGGCGATGAAGGACGGGCGTTGGAAGCCTATGAAAAGGCCGCGGAATGGTTCGAAGGAGATAACGCGGAAGCGTAGGCATTCTCTCCTTTCTTCTTCCCTCCTTTCAGGTAGCATTAATCCATAGGGCAAAACAGGATAACTGATCGTGGATATTTTATTATTTTAACAGGCTGGCGAACAAGCATTATCTCAAAGTCGCAGATCTTGCCGCGCTCAAAGGAGATTACTACAAATCCATCGAGCACTACGAACGCGTTGCAAAATCCTCCATTAACAATAACCTGATGAAATATTCCGTGAAAGACTACTTCTTGAAAGCTGGCATCTGCCACCTTGCGTCAAATGTAAGGAAAAACATTTTTTTAAAAGAAGAAAAGAAAAATTATACCAGTTATTTTCTAGCCTATTATTTTCTTCTCCGTGCGTGCGTCAGCTAAAAATATTCCACGCTGTCTTGCAGGACCTCGTCGCTACCAATCGTGCTCTCCAAAACTATAGAGACCTAGATAACTCCTTCACGACGACTCGTGAACATATGCTCCTCGTTGATTTGGCGCAGGCTGTTGAGCAGGGCGATGCAGAGTCCTTTGGCGACAAGTTATTCCAATATGATCAATTAAGCAAGCTGGATAAGTGGAAAACAGCAATATTACTCCGTGTCAAGAACAGTATCGAAGAACCTGGGGAAGACTTTTCATGAATTTTACGTTTTGATTCGCCGTCTATTTTCTTTTACTCTTTTACTCTTTTACGCTATTTCCGTCTACCTTCGCCCATCTCAAACGCTTCATCCACTCTTTCCTTACTCTGTCGTTCCTGCTACTTTCTCTTGCTCCAAGTCCCTGTTCCCTACAGCTAGTTTTGCGTGTTTACGGACCTCTGGCGCTTTAGAAGGTTATCCTTCCTCGCTTTTTCATCTTTCACTTTTTGGGAATTCCAAAGGGGTAAAATGACAACAAGGAATATAACTTGTTATTGATATTGTCGTTTTGTTGCCTGTTAGGAACGAAGTGACTCCAGTTTTAATTCTAGTTCGGATTCAATGCTTAACGGACGATGATCTACGATCTACAAAACAAATTTAATAAAGCGAAGTTTAAAATTTCTTTCTGTTTTCCATTCCCTCCACTTCAAAAGCCATCAGCACCTACGGGTGTTCGAGAAAACACGGGAAAGGGCTCTCTTAGTCAGTTAACATAATGGTAATGCGTGGGGATTGGGGACCAAACCAGACGTGAGAAAATGTACCCTAATGAAATTAATACATTTGTCCTCAAATTTGACTTGTTAATTTTCCGATTGCATAACTGTCTCCATCGGTAATTCCCTCTGTCGTTAAGAATTTCTGATACAATATCCTTTTTTTCCGATTCTGCCCAGGTCGACGCTCTGTCTTTTTCATGTTATTGGTAGATAAAACAACTAATATCAAATATTCTATCACAGTACCCATCTTCCCCGTCCGCTCCAACTAGCTACCCTCTTCCCAAATTAGGTAACCCTAATTTATCTTAATGCAGAGAGCTTATTATACCTTTTTCGTTTCCAATCAAGAAAAACCATCACCGCTTTACCATGCCGTGCTATTTTTGCCATTTTGATCCGAACTTTCCCTATTCCAAAGACACTGAAATTGAAAGGTGGCCCTTCCTTCCCCGTACCATCACATCGGGGTGCTCGTTCGCCACCAACTTAACAACAGCTTTTGTGACCCCCCGAGCAGATAGGGAATGTGCACCACCCGATATAGACATGGAGGTAGAGGAATGGGGGCTCCCCAAATCCAACCCGGAACACCACGGTGCCCGTCCATATCCCCGGAAGCTCTCCTCAGCCTCAGGAATCTTCTTTATCCACTGCTCGATAACCGGGAGCTGGATTTCCCTGATAACCCCCTGCTGAATAGACCGTTCCCCGAGACTTATGTCATAGCTCTTCTCCGCAATATGCTCACAGATCGCCCTGTCGTCTCCTTCAAGATCGAGATGAATAGCGCCTAAGAATGTGGATGCGTTTGCAGTTGCAGGTTTTGCCGCATAGGCATTGTCGCCTACGTCGGCATTAGCTAGACGAGAACGTAGGTCGTTGATATATTTATATGCTAAAGCCCCGGCTTCGGAATCGGAGTAGGGGAAGAACGGGATTATGGCATCAATATGGCTGGTTAGGGAGGACTGTATAATTTTGTTTTGTTAGAGCTATATTCATTATTTCCTGGGCAAGGGCAGGAGTTAGCCTATAAAAATACCCCATAGCTTTTTAAGAGGTCCTTCTTCAACGCTTTATCCAGTTCGTCCCAAGGGGCGGAGTGTAATTCGTCCTTGGAGGTGTTTCCGAGGTATGTTTCGTGAAAGTCGAGAATTGTGCTCTCACCGTCAGTTACAGAAAGAATACAGATAGTTTTCGAGCTAGCTGAGAAGTTTGGGTTAGTTTCATGCCGGCCAGCTCCTGAACAGACTCGGACAAAATTAAAAAAAATGTCAGCTTGGACGGTTATTTCAAGTTTCAAAACAGAGCTCTGATTGACCTGGCTTGGGCTGGTTTGTATGTACTTTACATGTACATGTACATTTACAAACGCTCACCTTGTGTAGGACCATTTGGGAGGGTAATTAGATTCAACCGACCAATTTTGTCGATATCATCGATATAAACCACCTCTAATCTGCTAGGTTGGTTGGTGAAGATTTCTTTACCTGGTATCTGCTCATTAGCAGAATAATTGTTCATCATTTTCGTGCGCGCAACAATTGAGTTAAAAGGTACTATTTTGCCAACGCTGGCAGCGAGCTTCAGCTGGCCATGGCCTGGAGGACCAACAAATGCCAGCATTAATGGCCGGTTACTGCTGGGAAGCAAAAGATGAGATTGGACATATTCCGTGACAAGTTTTATAGCAAGTCTTTGCCCGACAGAGAAATAAGGTAACTGGAGGAGAGATATGATGCCTAATCTTTCGGCATTCTGTCGTTCCTTCTTGGTTGGAGGCTCTAATTTGCTCGAAGCTAGGAGATGGTATCTTAAACCAAAATCCAGTCGCTTCAGGAGTGAGGCACGATGTAATCTATTGTACCAGCGAGTATCTAGCGTTAAATTGCCAGGTAGCAACTCAGTCTCGTTGTCGAATGTCCCGGAGATGGATCCGCCCCACAAGTCTCGAGGAATAGAATGAGGATTCGCTCCCAGACTCAGGAGCGTTTGTATAACTGTAATTGTCGCATCTCGCAAAATTGCAAATGCAAGAAGCGGGATATCGGAATTATGCTCTGTTGCATTTGGGTTGGCCCCATTTTCAACGAGTAGTTCTATGATATCAGCATCGTTCCGTTTGACTGCTTCAAAAATAGCGGAAAACCCATCAATGCCTTTGTTGAGTGCTTTTCGCACACGCTCAGGAGGATTCGTAACAAGCACGGCCTTAATACCGTTGGAGTCTATATTAGATTGCAGAGCTTTGATAACAGCCTCGGCCAAGGTAAGACATTCAGATGCTTCGGCTGGAGTTTGTAAAACGATTGTGCATGATGAATTCTCTGTCCCAGAGGCACTTGAAATCTAAAAAAAAAAAACTTAGCACATGTACTAGATATTTGCCATATGCAGCATTATTCAATTAACGGGTGTACCAGGATCAACGCATACCGTATCCTCTATTATATCGTCGTTACCCACCAATGAGATTAGGTCCCTAGTATCCCGCTGGCCTGGCTTGGATTCTGTGATGGCAGTAAGAGTCTGGCCTAAATCCCAAACATCCTGACCTGATGGATGGGTTGGGAAATCGTATCCATACCTAACTTAGTAGTCGACGGTGGTCTCTTCGCAACCTGGCCAGTATGGCGATGCGCATACATGCAAGCATCCGCTGTATATTTACACCTACCATTGTACCAATAGTAGCAGGCCGTGGCCTTCTTTTGGGTGCGACTTGCATGCATAGTTCACTCAACGAAGAGCGGCAGTAATTTGATAGTGAGGAGTTGGCTTTCTCCAAGTAGTAACAGGGACAGAGCCAGATGAAAAATACTCGAACGCAATATTATGAAATAATAGAAAAGAGGAACAGAGGAAAGTATAGATAGATATATCTGCGAGCAAATATATCGCGTGCCAGAGGAGTGAATTGATCCCGCCATTCATATCAGTGGAGTCAATGGAGTGGGCTTAAAGGGTAAATTGAATCATCTCGTTGATTCACATTGCTTTGAAATTCACGAATTTTGGAAGACTCGAAATTCACTCGGTTAAACTCCCAGATAGCAGACACTATTCCTATCTGCTAGAAGTTCAAGTTGGAAGTTTCAGCGCCACATCCTCACCACCCGGCAGAAGTTCCATTGGAACATGCTCCTCTAGCATCTGTGTAATTGTTGTTTGTTGGATATAAAAGTCACTACCGTGATGGATTGGCGTACGGCCCTGTGGAGCAATTGATTTGTCGAAGACATGATAAACCCGGGATCAGACTCAAGCAGAAGTTGTCTGATACCGTCAACTGTTATCAACCAACTACTGGTAACTGGTACCAATTGGAGATCAAGCAAAAACGCGTAGGCTACCTAAAGAAGAAGGGATTGATTATTTTTTGCCATTTAACAATAACTAACTAATGCTTCAAGATTACCTGGAGGAATCGACCGGACTACCCCCGATTAAGAGGAGCCAATGATTAGTTAGCACTAGCACTCCAGGGCTATTCCTCCGCTTCACCACCTGATCACGATCCTTGAGTTGCAAAATGTTCTAACAATCTACACCAAGCATTTTCGATAATATAATGTCCTATTCTATACTGTGCCTCTCCAACTTCAATCGCCAAGCTTTGTGCCAATACGGAAGGCCTACCTAGGCGACGGCTTACCTGCGGTGACTCATGGTCTTGCGGACAGAAACATCCAAGTTGTTGAGCATCGGGAGATCTTGAACCGGCGATTCGGGTATCCTGTGGTGATTTTGGTAATCTAAATGTGATTTCGATTAATACCACCAGTTACTAATTCAAGTATTAGTTATTTACTTGGGGGTTGTCTGACTCTAATCTTTCTGAAGTGGGCGATCCTCTTGCTTCTCATGGCTTTCAACCTCGTGGAATGTCAAAGATCCAGGAACAATTTCATGGTGTGTCAGAGGCTGGGGGATTGACGTTTCAACATGGCCTCGCCGGATTATATTTTTTATACAGCCGTATTTTATTTCCTTGATCTGCAGACTTGTGGCTCTACCGCCTAGGGAAATGTGTCGAAATCCAATTGAACATAATTTCATGGTTCTATTCGAATTTGCTATCTTCCCCAGACTACTAGAGGGTGAAAATGAAGAGCATGGAGTCGGAAGAGCAATTTTAACAGCGAGTTGAGATTGCAGCCTGGATTCAAAAATATCGGAATGTAATTGATAGAGATGCATTATCATAGAGAATAATACAAGCCCTTTTCAGCACCCTCCTGTCACAAAATTTATCGAAGGACTAAAGGTCGATGTTTTAGAAAAAGGGGTTATTTCCATATCGCTCTTGATATGTCTTTGCGACCCGATCCAAAACGCTATGTGCAATGGCGACGTCAAATCCATTCCTGTTTAGTTTTCGAATCGTATCCCTTTCCAGGGGGCCTTCGTTTTGATCTATCAGAGTGTTCAAAATGACCAGGACATCCTCAACATCAGTGATGGCTTTCAGGTGATGAGGTTTGGTAGAGAGTCGTCGGAGCTTTGTCTCCAAGCCCCACTCAAGTGGAGCTGCCAGTATCCGTATATTCTCGCCAGACCACAGAATGATATTTTGTTTTTCTGCATCCTCGAAAATGGACTCACAAGCGGATTTAGAGACAAATAGAGCAACGGAGTCATTCATCCATTTTTCCCCAAAACCTAAATCTCTCCCCACCTTCACCATGGCAAGCTGCAGCCTGCGATGCAACGCCTTGTCAGAAGCAAACTCTGGATCAATTATCACATCAATGTCTTCTGTTGTCGAGGGATTTTGAAAATGTGAGACTGCGAGATATCCGCCTAGCGAGACCATCGTAATTGGAGAAAAGGCGTATATCATTTCGTCTTCCGTTACAAATTTGTCCAATGTTTCGATCCCTATACATTTCTAATCAGCAATGGCTTCCAAATATCACTTGATTTCCACTACCTCTGCTCATTTTAGCTTTGTCCAACGCCACCCGTTCTTCTTCCATGCCTTCGGATTTCGAACCACTGCTGTTCTCACTTTTCTGGTATTATAATATATTTCGAGGAGGAGAGGAAGATTTAATGCTGCGGTTTTGAAATACTAGGTAGCTGAGGGGGGTTGGCCACATGAGGAATGGGCTGTTTGATACAGGGCTGCTGCATAAGCTACTTCTCTTAGAGCCCTGCACAGCCCGATCTTAACCAACAAACCCACTCACAAGTTCATAGAACTACTTACTATTACCTTCCATAAGCACTCTGTTATGGTGCAAATCACTCCCATTTCGGAATGATTTACAAATACTAGTATCGAGGAGTCCCAGTGGATTTTATCGGAATTGGATTTAGATCTAGCTCCGTGCGCGATGAAGAGAGTTTGTTCAACAGGGTCATTCAAGAAAGTTGGATAGCAAAATTCAGATCAGTTCAGATCAGTTCGGAGGAATGCATGACGGAATGTTTTCGCGGGATACAAGAAATTAAGGGGCCGGCACAGTTGACCTTGTAAATCACAGTTTCCCAACATCATGCTTGGAATCCAACAGAGAATTATTGATGCTAGCACAGCCTGGTATGCTATTTTAGAATGAATTGGTTCTAGAGTCCAGAATTGTGTTCTCATGCACATCTCCAATGGCTATGAAATGTGGTTAGCAGAGAAATAACTCAGAGATAAGCCACCAGTACGAATTTTCTTACAATCCTCATAGTTTAGAACGAGGAGCGTCAAATCGATTGTTATTCCATCACATGTCCTTGGCGCATCTCTATTCAGACTGACGTTAGTTTCGTTAAATATGACGGGCCAATATAAAAATATGAACAGTACTCCGTACGGAGTAGAGGGATCCTACAACGCCTGGTAGCATGAAATTTTTTTAGCACGCGCCGCCTTCCTATTTAGGTGGGCTTGTGGCAGAAGATGGGGCTGTAATTTTGAGTTCTGTATTGCTTCCGTATATATTACATATAAATTATAGCTAACGTGCTTTCACCACTTTCTTTGCTCACTTTGCATGCCAATTTAGTATGGGAGGCTACCTGCTTGTGTTTGTCTTAAGAGGTACTCTCTCATACTAAATTGGCATGGTGGTACAAAGTGATCAAGAAAATGGTGTGATCAAGAAAGTTAGTTATCTAACTAACTAGTTATTCAGAGTCTAACCGTAGAAGGAAGGCTGTACGCCGCAAATTCACACCTCAAAACGCCATTTTTACGTGAAGCTAAATTGTATACGGAGTATAAGGAAGGCCATTCATTACTCGAGAGCATTTTGCAGGCTCCATTGTTGCCCTCTCCACATGCGAAGCGTCTGAGCTTGCTGAGATAAGGTTATCGCCTGTTTTCATTCTTTCACGTTCTCACTGTCTTAGCCGAGAGAAGAGTAACCAGATATGACACGTCCTTCCAGACCCCGTCGCAAATTGAGTTGGTGGAGACGGAAATGGTACATATGGCGGTCTATAGAAAGCCCATTAGCACTTCGAGGAAGCATCATCCGTCTGCGTCACCGGAACAAACACCCATATCTTGCTCTGCTCCGTCTCTTCCTGCCTGCGTCTCTAACCTCATGGTCATATCCGATCCTGAGCCTCTTCCTCCTCTGAGCTTGGTTGCCAACCCATCACTGTGCTGGACAAGGCGGTGTGAAGGTGATCTCAAAAATCTACAAGCAATTCCACTATGGCGTTCTCATGACACTCCCTTGCGCTCTCTTTACCGTATGTACGAGGCAGCGATGGCTGGAGATAGTATGAATGCAGTAATCGGATATGAAGTTGAATACTTTTGGTATCACAGTGAGCATTCCTGGCAGCTGGAACGGATCCCTGACCCAAAAGACCCTGACCCCATCCGCTATGCAATTCTTGTCTGTCTTGTCGAATCCATGCCCGAGGCTTTCAATTTTAAGCTCAGCAAAGGGATGAGGAGAGATGGAAATAACATTCCTCCAGGTGATTGGGATGGTGTGAACAATCCATATGCCCCTTACACTCCAGTGGCCGGGCCAGAATGGACAAAACATGTGGCCCCGATTGATAGAGACTATCTACGAGATGTGATGCCCGAGAGACTGCTCGATTCGAGGGGTATGTTGATTCTCCATGAAGAAGCGGATAGTGAGATTTTCGCCGGGAGGAATATAGTTGCTTCGGAGGAGAGGTTTTGGAGAATCTAGTTTCGTCGTTGTTTGTACCAGATTTGCCGGCCGTTAAACGGCTTGGGAAGCAGCCCGATTTGAAGGTTTTCACAGCTTTTTACATTTGCATGGACCAAGTGGTATCTTCACCAAGTGGAATATCGTTGTTTGTCTTTTACAGCGTTTCGAAATCTGTCAGAATCAGCGATACCATATAGCTAGCTAATTGTCTCGTATCCATTATTATACATATCTCAAATTCCATATCTCATTCTAATTCACCTTTCCATCAGCGACACACTGGGTACCAGCAGAAGGTAATACCCTACCAGCAATCTACTGGTGCAAAAAACCATTCGAAACAACATCCGATCAGGAATTCGATATTCCCACAAACTCATCGGTATCACTAAACCCCACTCAAGATGTCAAGAACACAAAAAGAAATCAGGTATTGAACATAAATACTGACATGGATGGGAAGATGGGGACTATAGCAAGTCAAAAATCATAAGAAAACCATATAAACCAGAGATAAGGGCGGCATATTTTCGTCATTCGTGTTGCCCTGCGAAAAGAAATGGAAACGATGGGGTGTTTGCAGAACAAAAAATGGTCAGTAGACAAACAAAGAATCATGGATTTATATCAGGACGGGTTGTGTCCGTCCCTCAAATAAGCAATTATCAGATTTTGAAAATATAGGGGGGATGGGAAGAACATTTATAACCCTTTAAAACGAGCCCATCCAGCAGCCCTAATCTCACCGCCTCCCGACTTTGAAAGCCGCCGTCCTTTGGGTTTGGCGCCTTCGCGTTCTTCCTCTTCGGCAACTATGCGCACTCCAGCAATTCGGCCTTCCTCCGCCGCTTTTCCACTGACATCCCGTCTCCTCCCAACGCCCAACCCGGCAAGATAGCTACCATACCCAGGAGAGCCGGATCCAAAACCTGATCCCAAATCAATTCCAGAGTTGCTCACCACACGCCCCTTGCGATCACTATCGAGATGGGCAGGGCTGGCATCGCGACCATCATCGCTGTCGTCGTCCGGTTGTAAGGATTCGTAGGCGGACGGTTTTCCACCTCTTAGCGTCCATCGCTTTTTTCCAGGGGTGGAATTTTTCACAGCGCTATTAGGGGTTAATTGATTGTGGTACTGGGCGTCGTTCTCCATTCCGATGGAAGTTGACCCGTTAGTGAGTTCGTTTTCTTGATTTCGAAAGTTTACTGGCGTTGAGTATCTTTTATTAAGTGAAGGGTT